GGTCGTGGGCCTTGCAACCGGGGGGAGAGGAGGAAGGAGTGCGTGGGGCAGGCCGGGCCGACGGCGCCGTGGCAGCCCGGCAGAAATCGCTCGAAGCCCCGAATCGCGTCGCTTGCTTGAGGCCCCGCAGTCATGCCGCTGTTTTGGAGGGGGTGGCGAGGAAGGCAGTGCAGCTCAGGTCTAGCAAAGGCGAGGGGAGGTGTGAGGAGCAGGTTAGTCTGCTGGACGAGAGGAGGCTGCCCGTCGTGGCGATGCGTGCGCCGTTTTGAACGGCAGTTGCTGGACCGTCTGGAGGTTTCGTGTGAAGGCGACCTGAAGTTCTGAACGTATGCAACGGTGGGCTGTTAGTCTCGTGTCGTTGCACGTATGCAACAGCCGGCAGCAGGTCTCGTGTTATCCACAGTTCCTGTTTGGATCACGTGCGTCGTGGCATGCTTGTGTGCAGCTCTGGAACAGTCATGACCTGAGGAAAGGTTTGTATTTCTCTGATAAGCATTTAGCATCCTATCTTTTAAGGACCTTTGGGGCTCATAGTAATGGGGTGATTTTCTTCTCCTCCTCCCCTTCCCATCCTAGCTTCACTAAGAGGGAGGGAGGTGGGATAGGATGAGAGAGATTGTGAGGGCCCCAAGGTCACCCATGAGCTTGATGTTTGGAACCTGGTTCCTCTTTGACGTTTACATTGTAATTGTTACACTACGCAGCTTTCTGGCTATTTTGTGTTATTTTGTGTCAAAAGTTCATTCTCGGTCATGAGAAAGGTCATGACAACCTGGCTGTGTGAAAACCAGTACACTGGCAATCTTTCTCAGTGGCTCGTCCAAAGCAGCATCTTTATTTGAAGTACCACTAACTAGGAAAGACGTTATTGTACTTACTTGACCCCCTTGCTGGTTTGGCTGGGCAAAATTTGTGGGTGAACAATATAAGCATTATAAGATTGCTTTCTTGTTTTGTAGACGAATCTCCCCTTCTTCTTAATGAACTGATAGATTAGTGCAGCAAAATTCCATGATGTGGATGGATTGCTGTTGATGATAGTAACAAAGTGTAATCTAAAGGGTTGGTAGAGTTTTGTGCAACCAGTTTTATTTTATGCATGCCGTGTGTGCTGTTTCCAGGGTTTTTGAGGTAGAGAATACTCAGAAGTGGTTCACCATTCTCTTCTTCTGAGGGCACCCTGGGACTGTGCAGCTTGCCCAAGATCACACAGGTTTGTCTCTTTTCCCAAGAGGCACTGTGGGGAATTGAATTCTCAGCCTCTGGTTCCTCAGCCAGACATCTAACTCACTGAACTGTCTAGCCAACTTAATTTTATTCTAATACCCACTATTTCTACTAAATGCAATTTATTAACATCAGGAATGCAAATTAGGCATGTGATGACTAGCTGCCTGCTTAAAATTGCAACTGGGGAGTTTTAGCAGGCTGTTGATTTCTTAAGTAATAACAGTTCATTAAAACTCGGTGTATGCAGGGTTTTGCATATGCTGTTCACCTGCATGGGAAGCCTAGTCTTGCTACCCTTTAGGCTCTACACAGGGAGCCACTCATAGAACTCCCGTACTCATTCAGCCTTATAAAAAGTCCATCCAACCTTGTTGTATTACCAGCACACAGTAGGGCTCCCTCCCTCTTCAAACCTGAATCATGTTAAATGGAGTAGAATGACAGTGTGGAGGCCTCTCTTTTGCTGGTCATATGTGCTCTCCCACTCCCAGAATTCTTCCTGGTGGATTCCCAGTGAATTCTAGGATGGGAGTCCTTGAAATATGACCATCCCATCCCTAGTAGGCATGGGATTTTCAAAACTTGTGGGCTACGGGCCTCCATTTTGAACATCCATTTGGAGGGAATTAGCAAGAACATTGTAGTACTCTTACTGTTTGTGTGTTAATGTGAATGTTTGACAACTGTTACTTTTCATTGCAGAACTCTTGTGGCAAAATTAAGCCAATCACAAGTGTTTTCCTGCCTCAAAGAATGCCCTTAAAGGAAAAAGATACAGAATATGCCAGCTTGTTAGCATTTTTATGAATATAGCAAGATACCATGAACTAACCAAATAGAAAAATTACCATTTTTAAAGACTGTGTGCGTATTTCCCCCTCTTGAAGGAAGAGAGTGGTACTTCAATCTTAACTGGTATAGCTTGTGGATAGAAGTGTCTGGGTGTGGAGCCAGGGGCTGAGGGTTCAAGACCCTACTGTGCTGCCCGGAAAGGAGGCCAGCTGAGATCTTACGGAGAATATGCAGCTAATGGGGTTGCACACCTTGCCAATGGTTTGGCCATGGGCAAATTACATGGTCCTAGATCAGTACCAGAAGGAAGGAAGAGTAGACAGTTTTTGTATGCTTTATGTCTAGAAAATGCTGGGAGGGTTACCATAAATGAGGATCATCTTGATGGCACATAATTATTGTTATACATCTGAGTGCACTAATTGCACTACTCATATGGTCCTCTGCCAAATTGTGCAGATATATCCTCCAGTTTCTTCCCCAGACTAGATCAGTGGCAGAGGAAAAACTGTTGTGGAGCTGCTAGCATTGTGGGCACCCACGGTCTTTCTTAGGCCTGTCGTGGGATTCAGGTTAGGAAGGGACCCAGGCTATCGGTGTTACTGCCATTAAGGTCAGTGTTTCTGCATCCTTCAAGGGAGGGAGTGATAGTACCAACTGGGTGCAGAAAGGGAGTTATATCTGTTTCATTTGCACTTCATTTGTTAACCAAAGGTAAGAAGTTGGTTTCACTCAGAGAAAGGCACTTGGGAATGAAACAGATAAATAAAATAAAGTAGTGGAGAAGAGGATAAAACAATCTTATGCACTTGATTGATTTTTTACCTGCTATAATTGTGTGTCCATTGTATTTTGTTACTAACACATTACATTAAATAACTAGTTAACTGTTGCTTAAATAATTCTTCTGAAATTTAGAAAATGATAGGGTGTTATACAGAAGACAATAAAACAATCTTATGCACTTGATTTATTTTTTTACCTGCTATAATTGTTTGTCCATTGTATTTTGTTATTAACACATTACATTAAACAACTAATTAACTGTTGCTTAAATAATTCTTCCTGAAATTTAGAAAATGATAGGGTGTTATATTGGATGAAATGCTGAACTAGGACTGACAGATCCAAGTAAAGGTCATTGTATGACCTTGGATGGGTCATGATAGCTCAGGCTAAGCTGCCTCATAACATACTTTTGATGGTACAGTAGAATAAAGATCTCTACCTTGTAGGTATAATATATGATGTCATGAGTTCATCAAAATAAGCAAAGTGATAACTAGATGTAATTTGCATTTTTTTATATTTTTAACAATTACTTTGAATTTATGAGCTTTTTCTTCCTTTAGGAAATACTGAAGAAGCCGCAAGACTACTGGGCAGCAAGAATGTCCGTGTGAATTGTTTGGATGAGGTAAAAGACTTGACTGAAAACAAGATTCTGGATTGGGGAGAGTCAAATTAGCAAATATCAGGAAATTCAAAGTCTGACATATTTTCTTAAGGAAAATAATATTATCAAAGAAATCATAATAGATCTTTGTTATCTTTTCCTCAGTCTTGAATGTATATCTGAAAATAACCGTAGATAAGCTAATATTCAAACTTTGTGCTTTCTGTTTTAATGTTACAAATGTTTTATGCTAGAATAGAGTTGTGTAATATAAGGTAACATTTAAGTTTTATTGCATTTAGAATTTTCTCTGCAATGCAATTTATTTACTCAGAAGTAAGCCCCACTGAGTTTAATGGGGCTTAACTGTGATGAACATGAAGCTTTGAAAGAAGTGGTTTACTACTTTTGTTAATGTCAATTTTGCTAATCATCTCCTGAGATAAAATTTCATACTTCTCAGTCAGATTTCAAGATTAATTGAAGAACAGGAGGAACATATTACAAATGAGATAGTGGTTTGTTTTTAAAATACTTGTTGTTTGTTTGTTTGTTTGTTTGTTTGTTTTTAAAAATACTTGTTGTTTATTTGTTTGTTTATTTGTTTATTAGATTTTTATCCCGCCCTTCTAGACATATGTCTACTCAGGGCAGCTCACAATAAATTATTCATAAAAACAATTAAAACAAAGATTTACATTGACAATATTAATGTTGATCAAGATAGAGAATATGAAACAAAAGATGAAGTAAAAAGTAAAAGTCAAGTATTGACAGGAGGAAAGGCCTGACTAAAGAGCCAAGTCTTTAATTGGCTCTTATGAGCACCTAGCAAGGGTGCCAGGCAGATCTCTGACAGCAGGCTATTCCAAAGTCACGGGGCCACTGCCGAGAAGGTCCGGTTTCTTCTTCTTCCTTTCCGGGCCTCTCTCGGCATTAGGCCCCTCAGCCATCTTTCCTGGCTATAGCGAGTGACTCAAGTAGATCTAGGTGGGAAAAGGCATTCTGCTAGTTATCGAGGTCCTAAACCATTTAGGGCTTTATATGTCATCATTAACACTTTGAAATCAATGCGGAAACGAATGGGCAGTCAATGCAAGGGAGCCAGAGTGGGAGAGATATGCTGGTATCTTCTCATCCCACTATGTAGTCTGGCCTCCGTATTCTGCACCATTTGAAGCTTCCGCATCAATTTCAAAGGTAGCCCCACGTAGAGCGCATTACAGTGGTCTAATCTTGAGATTACAAGCACGTGGACCAAAGTGGTGAGGGCCCCGCCATCAAGATTGGTACACAGCTGGGCAATCCGCCACAGATGGTAATAGGCGGAATGGACCACTGATGCCACTGGGTTTCCATGGTAAGCACCGGGTCCAGACATACCGTAAGACGCCCCCATGTATAAGACGCCCCCCACTTTTCTAACCCAAAATTAAGAAATCTAAGTGGGGCTTAGCAACTGGAGGGGAAAATATGGATCAAAGCACTGCAGGATCACTTTGATTCCTGCTTTCCCCTCCACTTGTTTTTCTCTCCTCAGCTTACTTCCATGTATAAGACGACCCTCAATTTTTAGTCTAAAGATTTTAGACAAAAGTATAGTCTTATACATGGAAAAATACAGTACTCCCAAGCTGCGAGAGTCACCTCCCCCAAAAAGAGAGGGAGTTTCCTAAGCTGCCGATGGAGGGGCCACCGACCCTCAGGACCTATGATCTTCCCTCACCCAATGGAAAACAAATGAATAATTTATTTTGAAATGTCACCTGTGATATTGATAGTTATTACCACTTGACCTTGTTTCTTTCAGTCAAAGGTGGGACTCTCATGGTGGTTACCATGGTGGGAAGCTGCAAGCATCATCATAAATCAGTTTCTGCATGAGAATATTTTTGTGTCATAATACAGTTGGTGCCCTTTGGTTAATGTCTGTGTTGGATTGTGGCTAAGAATGTTTCATCTGTCCTAGATTGTGGCTGTTGTCCTTATAAAGTTGCACTTTGTTACTTTTCTGGAATTGTTTGTCTCTGTGGGAGCTGTTCATCTCTAAATTTTCCCTGGGAAAAGTGCTTTCTATGTTTTCAATAATAGGATTCCATCAAGAAAACTGCTTCAGTAGCTGTGTAACCATGTTCAGAATCACACTGCACTGTGGTACTGCAAGGTCTGGAAAATGCTGCAGTTTTGTAAAACAGTGATTGGGAATATGGGGCCTATGCTGGCTAGAACTGAGTCAGAGTTGCAATCCGGCAATTTGTGGGTGGTGGTTAGACATTCATCTTCCTTGGTCTATGGACTTGGAAATACTGCCCTCCACTACATGTGGTTGAGTGATTCATACGTTGTGCAGATACATGTTTAGCTGGTACATTTGGAATGGAATATGTGGATGCATTTGGTCTCATTTGGATACAAGTCTAAGTCCAGTGTTTTCAAGTAAGGAAAATGGTATCCATTCTGGATGTATTCACACTTAAGTCTGCAAATGGCATCTGCAGTCTTGAAAAATGGCTAAGAAATGCATTAATGAAGTTGCTCTAATAATTTATTTGTGCCCTAGTTAGAAGTCCCACTGATTTCAATGGAAACTATAGTTGTCTCAGTCTGTTAGGCTCTTCCTCCATTAGCTGCCTCCCATAGCAGACTCTCTGCCAGGCTGCAGCCGAGGAATCAATAGAAAGGGGTAATATAACATCCACTCTGCTGAGTGACAACACCCTTTTAGTACTACTTGTCCCAGACTGTTCTATCTGGTTCTCATAAGAAGACACTAAGTAATTTAAAGAAGCATTATTTGAGTGTCCTTTTTTGTCTTTTCCCCTTCTGCCTTGTTGCTCTTGTGCAGTATCTTTCTAATTATACACTTCCCCCTTCAACAATGCTGGATTAAGGGCACCAGAACCTGGGTACTTAAAAATTTATGCCCCCCAAAACATTACAAAGCATAAACAGTTGATACATACACACATACACAGAGAGAGAGAGAGAGAGAGAGAGAGAGAGAGAACAATTATCTCTATTGGAGTTCTCTTCCATATGGTTGACAGTCCATTCCGTACAGTACCATGTCTAATGAGCCTTAAAGATCTTTTGACTCCCTGATTTAGAGGCTGAATTAGAGGTGTTGTGTTGCGGCGGGGGGGGGGCAAGTAGAGCATTTTGACACCTTCAGTGTTGGACTCATGCCCTTGTTTCTGGGTCCAGAGAAACACTATTTATTAAATATTTTTGTTCATTGTTTATGCAGTCCATTCCGTACAGTACCATGTCTAATGAGCCTTAAAGATCTTTTGACTCCCTGATTTAGAGGCTGAATTAGAGGTGTTGTGTTGCGGCGGGGGGGGGGCAAGTAGAGCATTTTGACACCTTCAGTGTTGGACTCATGCCCTTGGTTCTGGGTCCAGAGACACACTATTCATTGAATATTTTTGTTCAATGTTTATGTATTTATTGAAATATTCATTTATTGGGGGAAAATCCATGTATAACAAAAACCATGCTGCTCAGAGACATTCAATTCAAGGGAGAAGTGTACACTAACATCTGCAGGGATTGTCTTTCTTTTATTGATTTATGCAAGCCTCTCTGGGAGTTGCATTGATGGAAAGCAGAATAAATAAACTTTTTGGGATCCAGCTGCTATGTTGGCATTCTATGGACCCTACTTTTCATGTTCATTAGGGAGATCTACATTTTCTCTGTATAACATTGTGTTATACTGTAGAGTTGTGTTAGTTTTATTAGCACTTAAAACACAATTATTAATTATGTGTATGTTTTTAAAATAAACTTCAAAGAGTTGTGCTCTTATGAGTCAGCACTCCTGTAGCTTTTTCTCAGACAATTCCTGTAGTCAGATTGTTCTTTTTGTGTTTGTTATACCTTTGTAAGGCATATATTAAGGCAAAGGAAATTCATTCCACTGGTGAATTTCTATGCAGGTGGCTTGCATATATAACAGTGCTCTTTATGAGAACCTAATTTAATGCAGAATTTCCTCCCACTATTTTAAGATCTCAGTGATAATTTCAGTATGTGGAAAATATAAAAAAATGATTTATCTTAATTATATTTCGGTAGCTTCTTTATAATGAATGCTAGACAATAAAAACTATTGGGAAGAAGAAACAGTGTAAGCAGGGACCTTAGTGTAATTGTGCTTTTCTAAGCTTTTAAGTGCATGTTGTGTGATACTGACACATATAAAAGTATAAGTAAATAACTGTTTAAAATGCCAGTTTTCAACATAGGTTGCTATGAAAGCAACTGTAAAAAGTGGGAATGATCACTCATCTCTCCCAAAATACACAATTTTCTGAAATAGTGAACAGTAAACCAGCATTAAATGATGCGAGTACAAGGCTTTTCCCTCTCCTTTCCACTCCCTAGGAATGAAGTCAAAGAAGAAATTGTTTCATTTGCGTGAAACTCTCCAAATGGTATCAATAGCCTTAGCCAACATATCCAGTGATAAAGATAATGGATATGAAGGCCCAATATCATCTTCTGAAAGGTGACCCTTCTGTAGAGACTGTTTGGCTGTAGAGACTAAGAGGAGGTGCACCTTGCAGTATGGTTAGTGAACAGCCTGGTCCTTTGCACTGATTCTGGATTACAGATCCCATAATCCCTGAACAATGGTTGTGCTGTGTTTAACCTTATTTAGCAGTAGTAGAGAATTCATGCATGCATGCTGACTTTGCAGTCAACATATCTACAAATGCAATTCTCACTTTAGTAATGCAACTGGTATATGCTCGACCCCAGTTGGAAATACTAGGCTAAATGCAATTATTAGTCCCAAATTGAGTAGATTTGAATGGGTCTTATGAAGAAAAGAAGTCCTATTAGTGGTGGATTGTAGTAGAAGCCCTATTCAGCCATTATGCATCCTGCTTTATCCACTGTGCAAATAGGGAAGCAGCCATCATCAGTTTAACAATCCTCATGGATTGGAAAGCGTTGCATCTACAGAGAGGAGGCTCCTGCTTATGTTCCTGCATGGAGATAAGTACCTCTTTCCAGACGTATCCTTTCTTCCTGTATAAAGTGGTAACAAACACGGGCAGGACTAGACATTCCTCTGGTTACATGTTAGGTGAATTGGGTTGAGTAACTCTCCTGGTTAGGAGAATTGTTGTGATAAGGAGAACGTTTCTCCCCTTCCCATGCCCAGGTGTAGTACTTTACAGTATTTTCTCCCATAACTTAAATGAGGGAAAAGATTAAAAGTGCTATGCTTGAGTATGGTGTTGCAGTGAACATAAAACCCATGGTTCCCTGGTGGTGTGAAACCTGCAACACAGATAAAAAGCATCTTGTTGGCTAAAACCATACTGCTAGCAGCATAAAGACTCTTGGGTGTTGTGGTCTCTTTGGTCCACTTCCACAGTGATTTCCGATAGCAATCTTTCTCTTGTCTCTCCATTTGGAATATTTGTGTAGTAACAAAAATCAGTTCTGCTTCATGTTTGTGGAAAGGGGACTTTGAATTCATCCTTCTAATATCTAGATTCTGGAGGGTTTTTTTTAGATTAATGCTTCACTCGGTTATTATGAAAATGGTTACATGGCAATTAAAAGCTTAACTACTTCAGTGTAGGCTTGATACCATGTTTCTCCTTTGAAACAAACAAAAAAGGAAATGTAAAGTCTTTGGCATTGCTGATTCAGTTTTAATTGCTCGTCTTTTTGACAAGCAGTAAAGGGGCTGTACTACTGTACTTGCTGGTATACCCGTGACCCTTCGAGGCATAATTACTATTACAAAACATACAGTCAAAATTTCTCAATACTATAGTCCTTATCTTAATAAGTACCATAAGTATGTGTTCGAAATAAAAGAATTACTGCTGCACACGAACACAACCCATGTAGTCATAGCTAAAACTTCTTTCTCATTACAAGCTTGCATACTGCCTGTGACCATGCATCCCTATAGGGTCCACTCTTGTTTTTTCCTGGCCTGGGATCCTTTTTCTCTTTTCCAGAACCCACCCTGGGGTTCTTAAAGGAAACAAGAGTTCTCCCAAGGGGAGTGGGTGGTGTGTTCCCTGTTATTTGTCAGTGCATGGCAGCAGTCCAATAATAGCTCCCTTTACCAAGAAGCCTCAAGTTGCAATTGAAATACAAAAGAGTCAGATTTTATTTTCAAGATGTGAACAAAACCCAGTCAGTGGTAGGTGGGATGATTGAAAAATACTGTTTCAGTCACAACTGTGTCTCTTCTAACCTTTCCCTGAACTTTCCCAACTGCTCTCTTTGCCTTTAAACCACACCACGCAATTCCACATTCCCTCTCCCCCAATCCTCAACAATTGCTACCCATTTGTCTAATGGCTGCTTGACTCTAGAACCCTCTCCCACAGCATTTGGAGGGCTTTGATAGGCTTGGCCCAAGAAATGGTGGCTGCCAGTGCTGCCGGCCACCATGTCATTAAAGCGTGATAGGTACAGAAGCATTGTCTGGCACAGAAGGAGAAGATATTTGTTTGCTAAGAACTGAAAGGCAGTGAAATAGTATTTTAAAGATAATGTTTGCAAAAAGCATGAGAATAAAATGGAACATCAGTATAACAATGCTTGAAGACTTAATTTTTCATTTTAGAAGCTCTTTGCCTTTCTTCTGCAAGCTCATGTCACAAATCAGGACTTCATTCATAGATACTTAACTACCACTGAAGCAGAACAAACTGTTACATATTAAAACACTTGCATTTTTCTTCTTCTCTGATTAGCATGGCATGACCCCTCTTATGCATTCGGCATACAAAGGGAAAGTGGATGTGTGCAAGCTCCTTTTGCGCCACGGGGCTGATGTAAATTGCAATGAACATGAGCATGGATATACTGCCCTGATGTTTGCTGGACTCTCAGGTAAGCTTTTTCTGTTTATGTTTATGGCATAATCGCTGTGGCCAAGAACTTGTCTTATAGACAATAGGCAAAATTGGTTATACTTGGTTTGATATGCTTGTTATTATTGAGATCTGGCTGTTCTGTTCTTGATAGTATAATGTGTCATTTAGAATAGGGGTCCCCAACCCCCTGGTGCCGGTCCGTGGGCTTCCTTGAACTGGGCCGTGGACATGGATCTCAGTCCCTCTCACATGCACAATAGGCGTGTTGCGCTTGCGGAGGGGCGTGTCGCACTTGCGGAGGGGCACAACCGTGAGCATGACACACCCCTCCATGAGTGTGACACACACCTCTGCAAGCGTGACACACACCCCACAAGCGCAGGTATGCCCCCGCCTCCCCTGCACACAGAGCCCACACCCCCCAACTAGTCCACAGTCCCATAAAGGTTGGGGACCACTGATTTAGAATTATTTATTTATTTATTTTATTTAATTTAATTTAATTTATATGCCGCCCACACTACCCAAAGGTCTCTGGGCAGCTTACAGCATCCAAAATACAACAAAGGGAGGCTGGTAAATACTGTGTATACACTGGGCTACAATATTTATAGTGGCCTAAATTCACTTATTTGCCTTATACTGAGTAGACCATTGAATCAATGATGCTTACTCAAGTGTTAACTTGTCAAGTTCCTGTTGGTCTAATGGATTTACTCTAACTGAGACTTAATAGTGGATCTAAACCAATCTATGCTTACTGTATATCCCATCATTGAGAGTGATGAGTTGTCATTATAAAATAACTTTCAAAATTAAGTGTATGTTATCTCAATTTAGGGAGCTTAGACATAGATGGAAAATGTTTTCTGTTGAGTAATATTTCTCAAATTGTATTTGATTCGAGAGATCTGTTAAATGTCTGTTTTCAGCAAATGGCAGAAGCATAACAGACAAAGAGTAAACAGTATTTATTGATACATAAGACATATTGCAGGAATAAGAAAGTAATGTCAGGTATATTCCTTGTGTTTTTCTCTGCATAAAACTGTAAGATCAGAAATTAAAAAATATACAGAAATCCTAGGTGTTAACATTTGATGTTAGAAATTATAGCTCTTTCTTCTGTATTAACAAACAATTAAGTTGGAAGCAGGATAGTTGTAGTATGAATTGGAAAAATGTTCCCCATACCTTGGCTTCAAATTGGGAACAATTTTTCATTATTAATATATGTCTCTTTATTCCCTCCCATTCTCTCCCCTCTGCTTTTTGGATCTCAATTCTATTAACACCATAATATAACAAAGAAAGATGAAGATGTAATTAGGATTGAAGAACACCTACTCGGCTAAAGCGTTTGTAAGACTGAAATATAACCTGGTCTTGTTTGTATTTAGGCAACAAAGAAATAACCTGGATGATGTTAGAAGCTGGAGCTGAGACAGATGTAGTCAACTCTGTGGGGAGGACAGCAGCTCAGATGGCTGCATTTGTGGGTAAGTAGAAAAGCAGTCTTCACCTCAACAACTTCATTAAGGCTATGAGATGGCAGAATTTGAATTTTTTTTAACATTGTGTTTAATTGTTTGAAGTAGTAAACTTTCACTGTTCCCATGCTGAATTAAAAACATTCACCGTGTAGTTGCTCATTTACTATGAAGTTGCTAATTATCTTTGATATTAGCAGGTTGAACTGAGCAGGAGAAATTGAAGCAGAGTTCTCCCATTACAAAAAGCCACCTTATTTCCAGCTGGAACCAGATATGAATCAAAATGGGCTCCAGCTCAAAATGGGATTTGGTTTTCGCACTTAGCAACATTTTTCTGTCAGTTTCTCTTTTCCACTAACCAGCAGCAGCACCATCCCAGGAAAAAACAACCCAATTCAATTTTTTTTCCAAAATTGGGAACTGGTAATCATTAGCAGAGTTGACTAGATAGGGGTAGGGTTTGTGGGTTGAAATATGTGATGCAAAACATTTATATACATTAGAGATTAGCCTTGTGGCACAGTGGTTAAATTGCAGTCAAACTTTGCTCATAACCGGTCCCAATGGATTCTGGTAACCAGTTCAAGGTTGACTTAGCCTTCCATTCTTCCAAGATTGATAAATTGACTACCCAGTTTTCCAGAGGACAGTGTGTAGCCTGTATAATTAAACTGTAAACTGCTCTGAGAGTGCTTTCAGCACTATGGGGCAGTATATAAGCAGCACACTTTGCTTTTTGATTATTGAAATATGGGAATCAGGTTCTTTTTTTTTTAATCTTTGAGAAACTCTAATGAATCCCCCAATTTTCTTTTACTATCATCTAGCCCCCATTAACAAAAATTCAAATCATGATTGAAAATTAAAATAATTCCCTAAGCTTAATAAAACATTGTTTTAAATTAAAAATAAGAACAGATTTTTTTTCTTGAGAAATGGAAATTCTCATCTGGATGTCTATCCAGAAATGTGCTTAAAGTGATAAAAATGTTTTGTCACAAAACTCTGTGTCTTACACACCCCTTTGGAATACCTTCAAGCCCCCTTGTAGGGGGTATACTCCCCAGTTTAGGAAAAATTATATACATAAATGATCCACTTCATTTTTATTCAAATATAGCTTTCAAGGAAAAAAATAGTATCTATATGGAAGGCCTCTCCAGGAATGAGGAGGAATACTTCAGCAATTTTAGAAAAATATTCTCAAGCATTACGTTTTCTGAGGGGTACATTGAAAGCAACACATATACACAGAGAATTGTGAAATGAGATGATGTTGTCCCCCTCTTAAGTATTACTTAAGACTTCAGACACAGCAAAAAAAAAATGATGGAGGAGGTCAAAAGAGACTAAAGTCTACGATCTAGTTTAGTAGCTTCAACTGCCCTTGTGGAACAGCCTTTTAAAATATAATTCACTTTTATAGCCTTATTCAGATATTAGAAGATGGGGTTAAAATTAAAGCATGAGTGGCGAGATAATTCTTGTCCCACTATCTGCTTGTCAGTATCCCTTCTTCAGAGGGACTGTTCGAAGAGAAAAGTTTCTGCTACACATGGAGTCTCTCCGCACAATAGATCTTGAAAAATCAGAAGAGACAAAGTTCTGTGTATAGCAGACTGTCTTTTCTACAGCAGGTCCTTCTTCAGGTGGAAACAATGACAGGCAATGAGACTAACATTCTGTTGCTACACTTTTTTTGAGTCATAACTTGTCTACATGACTAAATAAGTGTTGTATGTTAGGCTGGATGGAGGTGTGGGGCAATTCTCTACACACGAACCCCTGTGGTCAGTGTTCCTTAAAAAGAAAAACCTGTTAATGAAATTTGATTGCCATGTATCCATAGTTATTTAAGAGGGGAGCAAAGTGTAATCACATAATCTTATATAAGCCATTTTCAAATCTGCTGATGAAATGTACTACCCTTTTTCAAGCATAACTTAATCTTTGCTTGGTTACCAGCACCAGAGATGGCTCTTAGGTGTAATTTGTACAGTGAATGGGAACAAATAAACACAGGCCTATACAAGTAGAAGTAATTTTAGAACTGTTCTTTTTTGTTGTTGTTGTTCATCAGTTCATACATTTCCTGAATAGGAAAGTTGGCTTGGATCTATCAGTATGTTGTATTTCAATCCTTGAAAACCTATTATTGAACTTCATAAGCAAGTATTTCTATGTATCTCTGCTCTGTGCTATCAAGAAAGTTATGACTTGTGGCTTACGTATCTCTGCTCTGCTCTTCATGTGCTATCAAGAAAGTTATGACTTGTGGCAACCCTTCTCAGGGTTTTCCAGGTAAAGAATGCTCAAAGGTGGTTTACCATTCCCTCCTTCTAGGGCCAGCTCTGGGACTGTGCAGTTTTCCCAAGGCCACACAAGCTGGCTATAGTCGCAGAGGCACAATGGGGAATCGAACTCCCAATGTCTGGCTCTACAGCGAGATACTAAACCCACTGAGCTGTCCAACCAGCTGCTCTTCACCAGTTTGTCAAAAAATATACTCCCTGATCTCCAGGATGAAGTGTGCTTGGCCAGCTTTATGCATTACCCATTTCATGGTCCTTCCTCCTTCATAATCAGACAAATTTCTTTTTAGGTCAACATGACTGTGTAACCATCATCAACAACTTCTTTCCTCGGGAAAGACTAGATTACTACACAAAACCACAAGGACTTGACAAAGAACCCAAACTGCCTGTTAAGTTAGCTGGACCTCTGCATAAGATCATAACGACTACAAATTTACATCCAGTTAAGGTATCATGTCCTTTCTCTGCCTTCTCTTCCAGAGAATGTGAGCTTTATTGGACTTGGAAAGAGTATGATAGTGAAAATCAAACATTATCTGGTTAGTTGTTATATCCCACTGCCCAAGACTGACTGCATTGGCCCCATTTTCACATGGAAAAGTATTCATTTAAAACAAGCTCCATGTGAAATACTTGGGAGTTTACCTTATCAGAAAGAAGTGTATTTTTCTGCTGTGGTAACCAAGGGGATGGAGGCAGGGTTTGCATGAGAATATTTCCTTCAAGATTATCAACCTTTTCAGTTACAACATAGCTTGGAAATGTTATTTTTTTATTGCAGCTCCTAGAATTCCCAGGACACAAATGCCAGTAGCCATGCCACTTTTTTTGTTGTATAATCAGTTCCATCGGTTTACTTCAGCCAAAGTAACTCAATAACTCATATGAGGGCTTACCTGAAGATGGAGGCTGATTGAGTTTATGTGATGTTCTCCTGTGCTCTAGAACTGCTCTTGTGAATCTTTGAACATTTAAATAAGAATCTTTGTCTCTTAGAAAACTGTTTGCAGCTCCTTGATCAAAGAGTCAGACCTTTCATGTGATAATCACTTCTTGCAATCAGGGTGCGTATTTTCTAACACTGAAGTACTTCAGCTACATTCACAATATATTGTATTGATTGCTTAGCCAGTTTCTTTAAATGAAACAGTTTTATTTAACAGTGATAAAGAGCAGTAAGACAAAAAGATGAACTCTTAGCAAGTTACCTGGAGCATCTGCATTAAACAATTTATTCATCATGCTGGGAAAAAGCCCCACTGATTATTTATTTATAGTCATCTGTTAGTTCCATTTGGAATACATCTCTTACTAATGTTTCCTATAGATTGTGTTGCTAGTGAAAGAAAATCCTCTTCTGGCAGAAGTCGAAGCGATGCAGAAATGCTACAAAGTATTGGATTTGATTTGTGAGAAATGCATGAAGCAAAGGGACATGAATGAAGTTTTGGCAATGAAAATGCACTACCTCAGCTGCCTTTTCCAAAAATGTATCCTCTTCCTTAAAGAGCGAGAGGATAAATTGGATGGATTAATAAAAAGGTACGATCTAATGATAAATTACAGTGAATCCATCAGAATGACATTATTACATGTTATTTTTGCACACAGGAAGATCCTTGGTTTGTAACATATTTGAGCACAGACTAGGAAACTGGAGCTGTTTTTCTTTCCATTCAGTGGGAGATCATTAGGGGGTACAATGTGTACCTTCAAACAGCCATGTGAACAGCATCTAGAAGGAGGTTCATTGTATTCATCTACAGGATGAGCCATTCTTTGGGGGAAAAGGGTCTTCTACTTTGGGATGAGTGGGTAAAATTGGTTTCACCAGCCCCCACTGGGGTTAGTGGATCCAGATCCAGCAATACACATTAGCCCTACCCAAAATGAAAGTCTTCTGTTCTGTCTCCTTCTCTGGCCTACCTCCTCTATTACTGTTTGTTTCCTGTTTTGATCACTTGAGTACTATCCTTGATTTCAGTCTTTGTCCTTTATTTTCAGGTTTATGGAAGGACCAAGAACAACCATTAACTAGCAATATTGGCTCTGCTGCCCTATAGCTAAGTTTGGGTCATGTGAGATCAGCATATCTAGGGGCAGGATGGAAGAATGGGAAGGAATCACTGGGTCTAGGGTTACAGTGTCCATGTTCGTTCTGCGCTGAGGCTGTGTATTGTGTTTCCTTCTTCCCAGAGAAGAATAGTTGAGGCAGTTTATGCACCTGGGGAGGCAGGTGATTTTGTTCCCCTTCCTGCAGAAGATTTTGGCATCCTCTAAATTTTGGCATCTTGCTTTAAATCACTAGTCACCCTGCCCTTGTTATGGTTCTGGGACCAACATATATCATGTATCTCATAGTGATCTTATGTGTTCAGTTTTTTCCTGGCTCTGATTCTAGATGTTGTGCTACAGTAGTGCCATATTTAACGTTGCAAAATCCTGCTATGAGAGGCTTTGGAATTTATTTATTTTTTAAAAAATATTTTTATTGTAGTTTTTCTACTTTTCGATCCATTGCAACCAGAGTGATTTATTATGATATATTCCATTCATTTAATCTTATACTCTCTAACATAGTATTGATCTAATCTATTCTACTTAAGTTGATGTAGATTTCATCCAGGTATGAAGAGGTTCCCATTATTTATTATCCAGTCTATCATTTAATGTATCTGTCAAAATATCAGTTTCTGCTAGTTCCAAAATCTTCTCAATAAATTCCTTCCTTATCGGCACCTTTGTAGTCTTCTAATTACTGGCATATACAATTCTACCTGCAGTTATCAGATGCAAGATCAAGTAGGTCTTGTTTTTTTTTTAATGTAGCTGGTAATATATTCAATAAGAGGTCAAGTAGGTCTACATTTTTTAAAATGTAGCTGGTAATATATTCAATAAGAAGATTTCTGGTGTCAAAGCAATTTTAACTCCTAAAATTTTCTCTATCATTTCATGAATTATTTTCCAAAATTCCTTGGCCTTTTTGCACATCCACCATGCATGATAGAAGCTCCCTACATTCTTTTCACATTCCCAGCACTTGTTAGAAACATTTTTATACATTTTTGTTAATTTGTCTGGTGTTACATACCATCTATAAAAATTTTTGTATATATTTTATTTTAGATTTATAGATTTAGTCATTTTAATATTTCATTCCCAAATTTGTGACCAGGCACTTAATTCTATATTATGTCCTATATTTTGAGCCCACTTTACCATGCAATCCTTCACAATTTCCAAAGAGGCTTTGGAATTTAAACTGGTCAGGAGCCTGTTACATAAAAGGTTCTCAGTGGGTTTTGTGTTAGAGGAAAAAATGCTATTCAGCTGACCGTGCATTGAAAATAAACAGAACTGGAATGCATTATTGTTTATATATTCTAAAATGTGCACCAGGTTTATGCACTGGTAGGTGTTTTCTCTCTGATGCTGCAGGCATGGAGTTGGACCTTTAAATGATTTCCTAAATACGTTATTATATGTAGGGAAGGACATTTTGTGGACGACAAGTGGAAGGAATTTGTCGAACTGTACTGCCATTACTTCTTCCTTATTCATTGTCTGCCTTAATAATTTCAGCCTTTTAAAAGGCAGAGATACAGATGGTTTTCCAGTATATCAAGAGAAGTTCATCAGGGAGTGCATTAGGAAATTTCCTTACTGTGAAGCTACCTTGCTCCAGCAGCTTGTGAGAAGCATTGCTCCCGTTGAAATTGTGAGTGTCTTTGCTTGACTGACTTGTGTGTGTGCTCTGTACTTATTTGGCAAATACACGACATCTACATTTCTGTATGTTTCCAGAGAAGTATATATGTTGGCATGTTGTTTATGCGATAGAAGTCAGAGTCCAGGAAAACAACTATTTTATACTCATAAGAAATTACAGAAAGCTTAGTAATATCTGTAGCATGCTAAGAAGGCAGCAGTTTCTTTCTGCAGTTTCTTATGGATATAAGATTGTCTCTCTGATAGATTCTGACCTCTGTCCCAAGCCTTCCGGTGACAGCCAAGTCTACCTACTTAAGATCTGCTAATTAACAGCTTGATAATCCCATCCACTTGTTAACAAACCATTATTGCTTCACATATTATGTGTATCCACATCTGGATATGAATCTCATCACCATTAAATAAATACAGAGGAGATGTACAGTGGTGCCTCGCTTAGCGATCGCTCCGTTGAGCGACGAAATCACTTAGCGACGGAGTTTTTGCGATCGCAAAAGCGATTGCTTTGCGATGGTCCCTATGGGTTTTGGGTTTTGTTTTTTTTTTGCTTTGTGATGATCGCGGGGAAGCGATCATGGCAAAGCGACCCTTTTTTAACAGCTGACCGGCGGTTTTAAAATGGCCTCCAGGAAAACAAAATGGCCACCCACCGTGTTTCCTCACTTTAGAGGTACCGAAAATGGCCGCCCCATGGCGGATCTTTGCTTAAAGGTTAGTTTTTAGCCCATAGAAACGCATTAATCATGTTTTAATGCATTTCTATGGGCTTTTTAATATCGCTTAGCGATGAAAGCGCTTAGCAACCTTTTTTCCGGAACGGATTAACGTCGCTAAGCGAGGCACCACTGTACATGGATTTTAATCCATGGAAGCTCCTACTGAAATAAAATTATTAGTCTTTAAAGTGCTACAATTATTTTTTCTTTTATTTTGCCTGTGTGGGGGTGTTTTGACGCATTTGGCAAACACTTCATTTGAAAAGGTTTCAGTCTATTCTTAAGATCAGTACAGAAGAGTATTAGAAGCTGATTCAACTTTTTTTTCAGTTGTCTCATACTTTGACTAGGTAGTCACAAATCTTCTAGTGCAGCTGAGGATTCCTTATTTTTATCTCTAAATGGAAAGCAAACTTTGCAAATGTGCAAAAAATTGAAAATAATACGCATAATGGGAAATCTAGATGAACCTTTCTGTCATGCCTCTAAGGATAGGGGGAGATCTGGTGGCACAGTAACGATACAAGTTGTTGCTGCATTCTTTTTGAATACAACAACATGTGTTTAATAATAGGCTGTAACCAATATTTGGATAAAGGGTAAAAATACCAGGAGGATGTTTTAACATGCCTGTTTTACTCACTTGCAGTAAGCATTCTCATAATTGTCTTTGCTTGACGTTCATATAATTAGGCATTTTTATTCTCCCATTATCATCAAGGATTGTTTTTGTTTCTTCTAAAGATAGAAAATGCTCAGTCTTCCATTACATATCTTGTCAATGCAGTACTATAAGTGGGTCTATGACTGCATAATAAAACTTATTTACAGTATGTGGAAATCAGCTTATAAGAACATTACCAATACACCACACATTAGAAACAGTTGGAAAGGTACCTCTCAGAGTAGCAAATAAAACTTTCTTTGTGTCTCTCCATGGATGAGCTAAAGCTTAAATGTTAAGAGTAGCACAACATGCCAAAATATGCATCAAAATATCAGCAGTTCTTTTTCTGAATTTGGGTTTGAGTGTTGTAGGTACAGACTTCTGACATAAATGGGTGTATTTGTAGCAACTTGCTCTGATGTACTCTATTTCCCACATCCTTAGGGTTCTGATCCTACAGCTTTCTCTGTACTTACACAAGCCATTACTGGTCAAGTAGGATTTGTGGAAGCAGAGTTTTGTACAGCATGTGGTGAAAAAGGTGCAGCCAAAAGATGTTCTGTATGCAAAATGGTAAGAATCGACAGGTAAATACCTCTGATGGTCTGAAATACTAGTGATAGTTTACCATTATGCAGCCATTTCCAATTTAAAGAAGATTTCAGCATCATAACATGCTACTGGTGCTGTATTATCCCTTAATTTGCAAAATCATTTAGAAACCCATGAACAAATACCCACTGGTTGTTTGATTTCAGGCTTTTTTCACTATCTATCAGAAACAAATTTAATTTTTTATTCTGATAGACTTGTTTTTACAACGTTTGGAGTTTTAATTCTCCTTATTGAAGTGGAAAGAAGCACTCTGTGCCTTGGATAGTTAAAATACAGTAGTACCTTGGTTTGCAAAATGGATCCATTCTATGCGATGTTGTGTAGTACGGAAATTTCGCAAACTGGAACGCTACGAAAGGAGTGGCGCTATAGGTGCAATGTAGCCTGGGAAAACCCTTTTGTAGTGCAGGGAAAAAGAAAAAGAAAACAACGTAAACCGAGGCTTTATTTCTTATGGAAATGTAAACTGAGGCTTTATTTCTTATGGATTTCAGTTAGTAAATTGAAAATTACATAAACTGAATCATTCGCAAACCGAGTATTACTGTATGGGCATAAAATACATACCAAAACAATTAATAGATTGTGTCCATTTTTAGGTGATCTACTGTGATATTTGGTAAATTGAAAACTACATAAACTGAATGATTCGCAAACCGAGTACTACTGTATGGGCCTAAAATACATACCAAAACAATTAACAGACTGTGTCCATTTTTAGGTGATCTACTGTGATCAAAACTGCCAGAAAATGCACTGGTTTACACACAAGAAAGTATGCAAGATGCTAAAAGAAGTCCATGAGAAGCAGGAGTTGGAAGCTGCAAAAGAAAAAAAGCGACAGGAGAATAAACACAAGAAAGGTTGAGATACATCAGTATTGTAGTAGTATTCATTAATGTGTCACTCGTGGATGAAAGATTTGAAAGAAACTACAATGCTTTTTCCCCTCCTATGGTTTAAGAGGAAGGAGGGGTAAAGCACATAAGCTATGTTGCAAAAAATAGTCCAACTAGTTCCTTATGCTTTTGGGCTTATGTTTTTTAAATGGCACTCCCCTGACACTATATAGGAAAGAAGTCCAGTTGAGCTATGATTTGAATGTTGTGTTTAAAGTGGGTCTGAGGAAGAAAACAATTTCACTAGGCAAGATGGGGGTAATTTTCATTTTTTATGATCTTGCATTTGAATAATTATCATTCAAAGGGCCTTACCCAGTTGGCCTTAACTTTGAAGGACCTAACTGGCTTGGAACCCAGAATATACAAAGATCTGCCTTCCGTATTCCTGCCTGTCACCTAAGCTCATCTGGATAAATGATCTTCCATGTCCTCCCCATACCGCTATTTGAGTCAGCTTAATTGGCATTGAGCTCTCTCGCTCTTTCTCTTTCCTTGCAGCTAGTGTGTTGTTCCAGTTGACTAACACAGCATCAATCATTTTTTTCCCTAGCTTAATTATCTTTCCCCTTTCCCATGGTCTGGGTGGGCCACTTGCACATATTGCATTCCCCTTCTTCAAAGGGTCAGCTTAATTGGCATTGAGCTCTCTCGCTCTTTCTCTTTCCTTGCAGCTAGTGTGTTGTTCCAGTTGACTAACACAGCATCAATCATTTTTTTCCCTAGCTTAATTATCTTTCCCCTTTCCCATGGTCTGGGTGGGCCACTTGCACATATTGCATTCCCCTTCTTCTTTATTTTGTTCCAGTAGTTGTTGCGCACACCCTAAGCTCTTCCAGCTGGTTTAGAGTAGTGGAAGCAAATGTTGCTTGAACCTTCCTAAGAATTTCCTAAAGTCATAGCTGCTTTCTGACAATGTCTGTGGAATCACTATATGGTTGTCTTTATTGTTTATTTATATTTTATTTATTTATTCAATTTGTATCCCGCTCTGATGAGTGTCACAGCACTACTCTGGGCAGGTTACAACTCATAAAATAGAAAACACAAATGAAAATAGAAATATTAAAACTGATAATAGTAAACCTGGAAAAAAAAAAGAAAGAAAAAAGAAAACCAGATGATACCGACTAATATCAGAGTGGATGGAGGAAAAGAGGGGAGGGGAGAGGGGAAAAAAGGGGGGGAGGTGGTTTTCCTTGTTGGACTTACTTTAAATTGTATTCTTCATTTATAAATGTTATCAAATAGCTTCCGATATTGCTGTTAGTTTCTGAGTTGAGAGTTCTAGGGTTCTGTGTTATGTTATGTAATTGTTACACTAAATATGTTTTTCCTCCCCAGAGGCAGCTGAAGCAGCGGAATCTGCTTTAACAAGTGAAGAAAATGTGGTTTCTGAATCTGAAGGAAATAAAGAAGTGGAACTAAAATGTGCAGGAGAGAGAACTGAGCAGACTATTCCTAGCCAGGAGGCACCTGCATCATCTCCTTTAAGTGGCCATGTTCTTGGAGGAGAAACTAATTTAGAAAACAATGCTGTTGAAAAAGCACAAGAATCTGAGGAGTGAATTGTACTTTTTGGAGCACATTAAATGTACAGTCCATGAGTTATAATGCTTATCCTGGCATTCTTTTATAACCCAGCATATGTCAACTCGTTTGTCAACTGTAACTTTGCCACATCATTCTAGATTGTGAGGACAAGCACTTAACCATCTGCTTAGAATACTAAAAGTACACCAAATCTATCATTGTAACTATAATGATTCACAAAAAGTCATGGAAAATGGAAATAAAAATGAGAATGAAACAGAAAACATGAATATTAAGTTGGACCTGTACAGAATTCTACCAACATAGATTTCAGGGGAGTTGAAATAATTCTATTGTTGTATTGAATGTAACATCCAAGGATAACTTTGCTGGGTCTTCAGCTAAATTTTGAAGATTCATTTTTGCTACTTGTTCGTTTCCATTAAACAATGCTGCTAATCTATGTTGGCTTGACTTGCTTGAACTGTCACTTTCTAGTTAAATAACAGAGTTAGTCATTGCAGTTATGAAACATCACCTCTTAACATTTGAGATAGCATTTCTTGAAGAAAATCTGTTCACAGAACAATAATGTCCTCTTACACACTGGAAAGTTCTGTCATAGCAATTTTTTTTCTGAAAGCCACAAAACCCTGATCTGTACATGATCGGCAAAATACCAATGTGTGGATATGAGAGGTCTGTCTGAGCATGAAGGTTGGATATTGAGGGGGAAGGTAAGAACATTTATTGAACTGTGCTGCATTAGTTATATTCTTAAGTGCTCATTCTTCTTTTAAATGAAAGCAGTGCAAAAGTGAATTGCATAGACACATATTCTGAAAAGGAAGTAGAAGAAGTAAGGTCACATTTCCCTCTGCACTAATTATGCAAGATAATTGTTCCAAAGGTTCTAGACTTCACTATTGGCCATAGGTGCAGTCTAGAGACGATTAAGGCTACAGGGTTTATACAAAATGTAACACTCCACTTTAGTCCATCTGATTTTAATGAAACATATGTTTTCCACATAAAATGATGATCAGGTACTGGGGGAGGGGAAACTGCTCCATTCACATGCTAGTTTTATTTTTCAATTGGGACAATATTATAGAGAAGAGCACTAAGTGAGTCTGCAAACATACGGCTGCACCTGTAACAGTATGCCTTACATTAACTCATAGTCTTTGTGCACCTTGGCTCAACAATCTCTGACACTGTCTCCCTAGATGTTCAGCTGGATAAATGCATTGGCAAAGCAGCTACCATGTTCTCTATACTCCCAAAGAGAGTATGGCTCAAAAAGAAGCTGATGGCATATACCAAGATCCAGGTCTATAGAGCCTGTGTCCTGATCACACTCCTGTACTGCAGTGAGTCCTGGACCCTTTGTGCATGGCATTAGAGGAAGCTGAGCACATTGCATATTCGTTGTCCCCGACGCATATTTGGTATCACCTGGCAGGATCATTGTCCCCAATGCATGTTTGGTATCACCTGGCAGAAAAAAGTTCCAAATAGAATGGTCCTAGATCGAGCTGGAATTTTTAGCATGTATACATTAGTGAAACAGCGACATTTACGTTGGCTTGGGCATGTCGTGAGAATGGCTGATGGTCGGATTCCAAAAGATCTCCGGTATGGAGAATTAGTGCAGGGAAATCACTGCAGAGGGAGACCACAGCTGTGATATAAGGATATCTGCAAGCGGGATCTGAAGGCCTTAGGAATGGGCCTCAACAGATGGGAAACCCTGGAATCTGAGCATTCAGTCTGGAGGCAGCTGGTGCAGTATGGCGCCTCCCAATTTGAGAGACCCTTGTCCAGCAGGCCAAGGCAAAGAGGCAGCCACAAAATCAGCAAAATCAGAGAGTTGGACAGGGGATAGATTGTCTTCAGTGTGGAAGGGATTGTCACTCTCGAATTGGCCTTCTCAGCCACACTAGATGCTGTTCCTCCATACAGAGCATGTTACCATAGTTTCTCAAGACTGAAGGATGCCTCATAAGTCACCCCCTATAGGTCCCTCAAATTTGCAGGAAAAGTATAAACACAACCCAAAAAAAGAAGGGCAAGAAAAATATTTCCCTGCCAGCACAGATTGATAGATTCTTGGCAGCTCATATGATGCAAAGGCTGAAGATAGCTGGAGTTCTGAAATTGTAGCTCAGGATATCCATCCTGCTAAGAAACCTGGCTTGGATTTTTAAAAAAAGAAGAAAACTGGTCAATAAATTGCTGTGAATGCTGTACTTAATGGAAGTACAGGCAGAGCTACAAGAGGTGGTCTATTTTACCACACAAAGAATCATGGAAAAGGTGTTAATTAAACAGAGGGACTCAAAAGGGGCAGAGACCCTACCAATCAAGGGATGAACACCAACGTTCTATTGCCTTATTGTCAGTTTACACGCAAACCTAGGGAGAGTGGCTGTTTTTACATAAATAGCATAATCCTGTTCTTATACCTTTATTAGAAGGGTCAGCTCACACCTTCTCTTTATGTCTGGGCATGAGTAGATACATCCTAGGGAATAGAGTGTATTGCCTACACTTGGTCCTTAATCTTTAATTACTCAGCGAGTTACTAGTTTCAATTATAGTGAATGCTGTTAGCCAGTGAGGTTTGCATAAAGTATTAACATTCAGCAAATTATCAAGGTGCATTTAAGCCTTACTATGTACCTCTCCTTGAAACATGGGAGAAAAATGTGAAAGCTGGATAAATCTGGCAGGTTTTGTTGCAAGTGAGCAGGTAACGTTCATTCCTTTTGGGGTTTTCCACCTTTAGAATCTCTTCCACTCTAGCCACATCTGCTTTAATGAAATAATGTCCTTGGAACTTGTGGTACTAAAACAATATGTTGTAGTAACCTGTGTATTGTTGACTAGGTGGACTCCGGTACATGGTTTCTGCTTTAAATGCACGCAAGGAATTGGAAATAGAATCACAGTCACTGTTTCCAGATTCTAGATGCCATTTGGGACTTACACATTGAGAAGGCTATGTGCATGTTCCATAGAAATATGAGCATAATACTGGGCTGTGCATCTGTATGAAAAATGGGATGGATAGAGCAAGATGGACCAATAGACAATTTGTTTTCTTCTAAACCAAGAGTAAAGCAAGGAAATGTTAGATAATACTGCCCAGTGAGTCAGAATGAAGCTGCCTAAATGACTTCAGGCAACATACAGAAATCTTGGTTTGCAACCAGGTTATTTGTAGAGTTGCTGACACCACTCAACACCTATGCTGTTACTTCCAGAAATGTTCTGAGACAGTCTGAGTGTACTGAGCATGTGCTGCACTCAATTCTGGCACTGGGGTGGTATGAGAGAGATACTGCGACTTGAGTCCACCTAGTAGGTAGGAACCTTCTCCAGCTTGAGCGCTGGAGTGGTTAAGAGTGTTGCAATGGGATTTGAAAGATGGAGGTTACAGCTCTAGCTCAGCCATTACAGGGTGGTCTTGGGCTGGTCAGTCTCAGCCTGAGCTGTTCTGCAGGGAGGGAGGAGAACTAAGTAGTCAAGTTCAACTAAGTATCCTTTCTTGAGCTGGTTGGAATGGAGAAGGGAAATACTGTAAATGTTACATTGTCCTGTTTTGCTGTTAACTCCATCCATATCAATAGTAGCATCATTTCTGCTGGATTAATGTACCTTTTCATATTATGCTCTGTCTTTCTCAAAATATTGAACCATTCTTTATACTACATATCTATATATATATTATCTGTTAACATTTTCAGAGGGCTTACATCCATTATTCCATTTATACTATGTAACATTTTAGTTGTGATGTTTTCTTTGTTTTCCTAGTATCTGTTAGGAAATCAGACTACAGGCAATTATGTAACTATTCTATATACAGAGCATAGATATATATTAAATTTTTAGGCTAATTACCATTTGTGGAACAAGCACTGCAAAAGTGGCCGTGGCTGTTCAGATGGCACCTCTCAAAATAGCTATGACCATTCTTCAACTTTCATCCTGCACTGTATCTGTACAGGATACAAGTTTTAGCGTTTATAGCTTGAAATATTCCGAATGCTGTATGTTAAACACTAAAATGGTAACACTTTTTTTTCATCTTGAAATGCCTTTAATTGAGATACAGAACAACACTGAAGAGCAAAAGAGAGGTTCGTAAAAGACTGCTTTTTTAAAGGAAAGGTTTAATTATCTGAATTTGACAGTCAGTCTCTCTGGTCTCTTTTCGGGATTGCTGCCAAGGCATTTTTCTTCAGACGTGGGCATTTTTCCCCAGTTAAAAGTTGAGTACTCCATTACGGAACGGTTCATTGCCCTCACATGGACAGCATCTTCTGGATCTTCGAATGGGATTCTTTAAAAGAGCAACACAAATTTGTAAAAGACAAGAAATTTTGCCACACAGCCAGAATCCACTTGATGGATTTCTGACACTATTATACTAACACACTTTAAACATTTTGATAAATTAATTTTGTAAACTGCCCTCCTGAAAAGATATTGCCAAGTCAAAAAACTAACAAGGCTCAATTTTTGCAGTGTGATTCAGCCAAACCAATGTACACAAAAATTACATGTGCTTCATGAGACAAACAGTGGATCTTAAAAGATCAGTAACTAGATTGCATTATTTGCCTTTGGTATCATCTTTATTCTTCTTTTGATAAAATCAGATTGTCATTATGGAAAACTACAGTTCTGCACAAAACATCTGGTACTCTTCAGTCGTGTTGGACTACAGCTCCTATCATCACCAACAGCCAGCACAGCTGCCTTACACAACTTCTAATCCAGATATTGCTTGTTAGCTGCCAAGGTAAATAACTGCCTAGTATAGATGTTTAGAGTGAACAGTGTGCCCTATAGGATTGCATATGTTGGAGTCAACTTTTATGTTACTTGTTTAGGTTTGAGTAAAAGCAAGGGTTTCCCATAAGTCACCCCCATGTATAAGACACCCCCAACTTTTCAAACCCAAAATTAAGAAATCAGTATTTTAAACATAAAATAGAACACAGTTTTATTTAATATTTAGGTAATATTTACATACCAGTACTGTCATGTTATGCATCACTTAGCTTTGAGCATATCACTATTCAGCCTCTGGGCTCAGAACGCTCCAACATTACCAGTCCCTGTTGCATCTGAGCACTGCCTACATGCTCCACCTCCAACAAGGTGTGTTCCAATTGGTTTGTTCAGCATCAGCTGATGTTAGTTACATAAGGCTCGTGACTGGAGAAAGCTAAGTCTTCTGACTGTAGGAAGCTAAGCCGTGTGATTGAAAGAACTTTTTTGCAGAAGCAAGGTATGGGCAGTTTTGCAATTGTGCAGTTCTCTTCTCAGCTTACTTCGGTGTACAAGACGACTCTCAATTTTCAGTCTAAAGATTTTAGACAAAGGTATCATCTTATACATGGAAAAATATGGTAAATTAGCATCCCAGGGTGTTATGCAGCTATTGTGAGAATAGATCGCCCCCCATACTTTAAAGACACGCTGTCCTATTTCCTAGTCAGAACAGGTGTTGCAGAAGCACACAAAAAGTGGGAAAGTTTCATTAAGTAATATAATACATAGTCTGGGCAGGCAACTCATAACATTGTACTGGTGGCATTAGTGTAAACAAGGAGCATCCAATCAAAGTCTACAATCCAAGATCATTAGCAGGTGGGGATAAAAAGGGGTTAGTGAGAGAGAGGTACACCGAGTAACACTGAGCAATCTCAGCCATTCACAACAAGGAATCCAGCAGCAAAGTTGGTAGTTCAAACTATAATGAAGTTAATTTCCAGAACTGAGATTTTGACAGTCAACTGCTTATATGCTGTTTCTGATGCTATTGTTACTGCAACTTCCACCCAAGTGTGAGCCACCTAGTTCTAGGCCACCCTGTAAAGAGGGGGTGACTCTCAAGAAGCCAATTTGCTCACAAGGAAATCCTCTAAAGCAGTGGTTCCCCAACCTTGGGCCTCCAGATGTTCTTGGACTTCAACTCCCAGAAATCCTATCCAGCAGAGGTGGTGGTGAAAGCTTCTGGGAGTTGTAGTCCAAGAACATCTGGAGGCCCAAGGTTGGGGACCATTGCTCTAAAGGAAACCCTCTACTCATAAGAATACCTGCCATGGAGCTGTGTTACCCCTCTCAGTATCTGTTGCCCTTTCCTCTCATTTTGCTGACATTACTTTTACAGAATAGGAAGGAATCTGACTTCCTTGTCCAGGTTTGCAACCGACCCTCATCCATCTCAGGGTGCAGCCCCTTGCACCTCTGAAGGCCTTTGGCTCACAGGAGAGCCCATGGCAATCCCAGGGTCATAGGACTCAAAAGTCTTTCTTGCCACAGAATTTATCCAACAGAGTATGACTTACCTATCACATTTTAGTTTCTTCCATTTGAATTCTGCAATGATGGGCACATTTTATAGATAGAAAAACAGGCAGACACATATACATATTGCTTGAAACTTAAAGCACAATAAATCTGTTAGTTTTAAGGTGACATTACACTCTCAATGTTCCTTGTAATGCTTAAGATCCTGTAAGAAGGCAGACTACTTACTTAACCAGGTGATTTCCAAACTCGCATCCTAAAGTAGGTTTAGAAAAAGTTATTAAAGTAAGTAAGTATATCACTTTATTCAACTGTTATGTAAAACTATATAAGTGAAGCCATTCCTGTGTTCATTCATTTTAAACAATAAATCTTGACTTTTTGCAGCTTGCACTAAATTGTCTTACTTACATATTTCTTGAGTTAGGGAGTTTTTTCTAGGTGCTGTTATTTATCAGAGTTTTCAAAACTTAAAGGCCAGAATGACTTTGGACTGCAACTCCCTGAAGCCCTGGCCAGCACAGTTAATAATCAGGGCTTATAATAGTTGTAGTCCAAGAACATCTGCGGCTTCAGTTTTTGGTGTTTATTTGTAAACTGAGTCAGGGCTTATAAGAGTTGTAGTCCAAGAACATCTGGGGTTACTGCCTATTATCAGTTTTTGGTGTTTATTTGTAAACTGAGTATTTTCTTCTTTTTCTTTCAAATAAAGCATGATTAAGTCTCAGACCTGTTTCAAATAATTTGCTACTAGGAAAAGATGGTGCCTTATTGTATCCCATCCCTTGATTCCATCTGTTAAAGTCAATCAGACAGGACACTGAACAATATTTCAATACAGACAAGAAGGACAATATTCTTCTGCACCAGTGCCGTTGAGGCCAGCCCCCTAAGAACAGGACAAAGCACATGCCAAAAACTTCTCTTGTTTGACTCCTAAGAAAATCTTTCATAATTTCATGCAGCATCATTGTGTGCCTTGAGGCCAGCCCCCTAAGCTTAGTGAGAACAGGATAAAGCATATGCCAAAAACTTCTCTTGTTTGACTCCTAAGAAAATCTTTCATAATTTCATGCAGCATCATTGTGTGCATAATGCAATGTTGACTTAGTAAACATGTATTCCAGTTTATAAGGGTTTTTATTTTCATAAAAATAAATTTGTGTATTTGAAGTGTACAAAATATCCCCAACTTCTCTTGTTAGTTTTGCTCTCCTTGGCATCTATAGTCTAAAGCACTGGTTCTTAACCTTGGCATGCAGCATCGTTGTGTGCATAATGCAATGTGGACCTAGTAAACATGTATTCCTGTTTACAAGGGTTTTTATTTTCATAAAAATAAATCTGTGTATTTGAAGTGTACAAAAAAATCCCCAACTTCTCTTGTTAGTTTTATTTTATTTATTTATTTATTTATTTTATATCCCGCCTATCTAGTCACTTAAGACCACTCTAGGCGGCTCTCCTTGGCATCTGTAGTCTAAGGCAGCTACCACACTCTGCCTAGTGGTAGAGCCAACACCACATCAGCTGCATACAGATTGAGAGAAAAGGACCAGTGACTAGAGAACTTTCCTTTCTAAGCATTAATCGTGGGCTTTTGGTGAGTCACTTCCAAGAATTACAATGTGGTTAAAAACCCTCATATCCCCCCCCCAAGTGTTTAAATGAAATGTTTGCCCTAGAAACAAAAATCCAGTCTTATTGATGTAGCATGTTTTATAAACATGATTTTCTTTTCAAGGTTCACAGTCTTAAGTATACTTCAATATTGAAAAAGGTAGAAAAGCCAAGAATATTTAAATTGAAATAAATGCCTTGAAGAATGATCCAGTAATGCTTTGTTATTTTAAAAAAAGAAAAGCTTTTACATAAGCTTATCAAATGACAAAGCATTTAAATTCCAGCAAACCCTCCAAAACGTCTTCTCAAGTAGACATCTAAAAGTAAGGAAATTATAGATGCTAATAATACATTATAAAAGCCATGTTAATGGAAACAGGAGTGAATAAAAATTGTTATTTTCTCCAAATTACTGTGAAATACCTGGAGGCAAACGCAACACTTTGGTAGTCGTCAGGCTAAATGCTGGCTTAGGCAATAGTGGAACATCTATTCTCTTCCCAAAGCCTATTGATTGGAGGACAAGTGTCTTCCGATGGTTGTAAATATGCAGAGCTGATTCTCTTTCTTTTGTGGTTACTTCTGTAAAATACGCAGTCCAGGTTATCTAAGTATAGCCATCTGCTAGCATATTGGAGTCTCCAGCTGATACCAATTTGAGATAACTCTGCTTATCAGATGAAATATCCTCCATATAGGTTCTGCATGTTCAGTATAGCAAGATACTGTTAAATCATGAGCCCTGTTCAAACATTGCAGCCTGAAAACATGGGCTCTGAAAATCAGTCAAATATTCACATGATTAAATACAAAGTTCTGATTAGTAGCTTCTAAGCACACAACTCCCACGTCTGGGAAATCTTGCCTTAACTTTATTGTGTGAAAGGTTGTCCACACAGGATAGTCAACTGCTTGCAAAGCTCCTCAGATCACACAGATGTCTAATTTACTTGTGGGTGGTCATGGTCAGAGCAGACTAGAGGTGTGCCATTTGGATTTGGACTTCTGTTCCATTCTGGGACTTCTACCTGACAGAGTCACACCTACAGAAATCTACATGTAACTCATCTGGAGAAAGGCCCAGCTGAAAGGCTTCGTAGCCTAGCATTTCACTGCCCTGGTGCTTGCTGGAACACTCTGGGATCTCAATTTCTTACTATCTGGCATGCCAAATATGCCTCATACCTAGAGTACCCCATTTTTTCAGATACATTTTTCATGAAGTAGAGTCAGGAGTACACCTATAAATGCACTAAGAGGCTTCTATGCATAGAGTGTAACTTCCAACATTTTTCTTTCAGTATCAGCCTCTCTTACTATGTCGCCATCTGCTTTAAAAATATTCCTGAGCAGCTCACAATTGTAATTCAGCTAATTTTGTTAAGAAGTGTAGCACCTTTCCTACTGTTATTACGTGAAAGGTTTTCTTTAATAGGTTCTGAAGTCTAGTATGAAAAGAAGATTTTATCGTTTATTTTTACAAATTTAGCTCCACAATACCAGTAGTGTAAACATTACAAGTATTCTCCAAGCAAAATACAGTTTGTTTAGCTTGTTTGTGGTATTGATTTCCATGAGAAAGTTTACATTTAACTGTCACTCACTTTTTCATAGGCAGTTATGTAATTCCCTTCGTGTTATGTAACTCAGGGCAGTTACTGGTATGTGCTGGTTTCATCCAACTAAGGTTTATTTAAATCAATTTTGTCTTACTTTAACATGGTTAACTCAACTAATGGCTCTTCCAGAAAAGGTTAAGAGGTTTTAAAGATGTATTGAGTTCTAAGGATGTTTTTAAAAAATGAACACTCCTGGATTTAGAAGAAGGCAAAACTATGAACAGGGATCAGCTGGAGTTATCAAGGCCAAATCCAGGACCTAAAGATTGTGGTTGGTAGGAATGGGAATTTGGGGCATACCGGAAAAGATAGGGGGCAAAAGAGGATCTTTCTTTAGTTTTTGAGTTCATTTGTTTAAATGAAAGAGGGGTTGCATAAAAGCTTGGGATTCTTACATCTTTCCCTCTTTTGTTAAACCTTCCTTCATGCAAACCACCTTGGAAATTTTCCTCACCTCATGCTCCCTGCTCTTTGTTTCCTTGCCCAGCTGACAGCTCTGACAGCGCCTCTGTTTTCAAAAGCAATGATAACAGAAGCTACAGATTTGGCAGACTACGTTTCAGGTGTGGAGAATTCTTGGCTCACTAGATGTTTTGGAACTCCCACAACATGAAGAAGCCCAGGTCAATGATAAGGGATTGTGGGAGTTGTGACTAAAATATATGAAGTGCCAAAGTATCTATTCTCCTGCTATGCTGGGCAGTTGTGGTTGAAAGGTTGACTTGCTACCTTTGCTCTTAGATTTTGATCTCTAAAAACTAGCTGAGGATCCAGTCCAAAGACACTTACTGAGAGCATTAACAGCTCATTAGGAATACCCCTTGCATACTGATAAATTGGTTGGGCAATAATTATAAGAAAAATTACTTTTCACATTTGGTGAAATACCGGATGATTGCATGACCTCCCCATCCCCCATGTTGTGCTCCAGTGGGAAACTGGAGTGGCCAGGTGATTTCATAAAGCATGTTTGTTTTGTTTCCCCACCCACAAGTTTTTAATTTAGAATTTTTTTATGCATTAGATTTTTAATTCAACATGTATTTTATAAGAAAAATATAAGTACATATTTGTTTTAAATTGTGCAGGTCTCAGTAAGCATGCTTTTTGCAAACTGAGATTTATTACTTAACTTTGGCACTTAACTGTTCATTTTTATTCTTAGTTCTTTATTTCTATTTTTATTTTTCATATTTATTTTAACTGCTAATGTCTGTCGTAATCATGAACACTGTTCGTGAATGATGATTTCCCTGCTTTGCAGACAGTTCTATTTTACATAATTATCAATGATATTCTTGTATGTTATTTCCCTGAGTTACTTTCAAACTCCTTTTCCCCCTCTTTTTCTCTATGTGGTTACTTATATACACACCTGTTAACTGTGGATGATATTTAACATGAAAGTGTACAGATGATAAATATGCCAGTCGTAAGGAACTATCAGACTATTTGTTCCTTTGCTGTTATGGATTGACGCAGCTACTTTTCAAGAAAGTGAAATAAATCAGCTATAACTTGTCTGGATTTTCAAAATAATTTCCACATAGATTTCTTAAAGCATGTCCAAAATAACATGAAGTCTAGTTATGGGCAGTGCATACTTGCAATATTAAGATTCCAAATTTAAAGAAATGGGGCTGAGCAAAGCAAAACAAATCCTGGATATCAAATCCTACAAATAATTTTACTGTATGAGGGCATCCCCCAGAATAATGCTTCTTATTCACTATTGCAATTATAAATCATAACCATGTCAAGATATTGTAAATTTTATAAGCCTGAACAGTTATTGAATGTAACATTAATGAGCTGCCATAAAGAACAGCTGTGTAACTGCTGAGTCACTGTGACAAAGGAGAAGATGATGCAATGCCTGGAGAAGAGGTGACACTCACGTGGAGGAAGATGATGCAATACTTCCAGTGATTGGACAGAAGGAGCAGTGTAACTGCATATAGGGAACAGTGTGGACATTAATGTATCTTCTCCTTCTTTCCTATGCTACTATCCTCTATGCCACTTTACCTATATTTTTGCCTGCTACGCCGAAGCTCTGCTACTTTGTATATTTGTATATTTGTATATTTGTTAATACACGTGTCTTTTTGTACAGAAGAAGAGTGTGTGTGTGTTTCTTCAATCAGAAAACTCTGCACATTTCACAGCGCGAAGCTGACAAACCACGAGGCAAAGCAAAGCAATTTCTACCTTTTCTGTCAAGCAGCGTTACAGAAGGAATGTGGTATATTACATACAGATGATATCTGCAGTCTTGTGACACGGGGTTGTTAAACAGGTCTGCATGAGTTAAAAGAAAAAGAACAATGGCCAAAAGTTATAAGCAAAATTTGGCAACTTCCTCCTCTTCAACAGATACTATGCAAACACAATCTCCTGGTTTATATTCAAAATGTGCCTCTGTCCTGAACATTGTAAGGTAACTTTTAAAAGCAGTGACAAATGCTTTCTGGTGCCACTTTGTGACAAATATTTTATTTATTTATTTATTTATTTTATACCCCGCCTATCTAGTCATTTCGACCAATGTCCCTCTCTTATCCATTTCCTTATTTATTTATTTATTTATTTATTTGACTTCTTGTTTATCCTTTATGATTAAGGGAGGGCGGAGGAGTGAGGGGGAAACTTTGATATTCCAGTGGAGGACTGTGAAGGTTCGGTTATCGGGGCTGTCGGCACTTCTAATAAAGGACGAGTCGGTGGTGTAAAATCAAACGGTTCCGTATCTATTGCAACATCAACATGAGGGGGAAGGGGATTCAAAAAGGGATTCAACGTTTCATGCAATTTGGCGCTCGGCTTCAATGGTGTCCATAAACTGTTTATAAAGGGATTGGTATTCTCCATGTTCCATGGTCCTGTTAAAGGTTTCACAACACCAGGAATGGGGTTCACCTCTTCTTCTAACATAATCAAGGGAATGGTTTCCTCATCCCCGCTCCAGTCCCCCCAAGACGACCCTTCTCCGTCGCCGGCCAACCATGGCCCGGGAAACCCCCCAACTTCTGCAGTTCGGCTATATGCCATGCTTTCTTCCTTTCTAGCTCACGGGCGACTGCCTCTCGTTCCTCCCTTAGCTTACGCCTCCATTCCTTGGCCTCCGTTTCTCCCCAATAGGAAGGGCGAGGTTTTAGACCCAATTGCCTTCTCTTCTCAGCCTCTTCATGTGGGACCCGTACCTGTTCCCACTTGTGGGTCTATGGATCCTCCATCCATATCCATTCCCAACCGCCCCCGGATCTCCTCCCTCTTCTCCCTTATATCCGCAACCGCTGCTTCAATCTCCTCCCCCCTCCTTCCTGCCAAAGTCCCTCCAGGTCCAGGATTCAGGTTTAACTCCTTCACGACTGGTACCAGATCACTGGTATCTACCCCTTTGCTCTTGGTAGGGGGTTCGGAAAACTCTTTACCCCAGTCAGGGGTCTCCACTCCCTTTTCTTCCCGACGCGGTGGTGTAGGAGGTGGAGATGTTTGTGTGTGTTGGGCCCTCGACGGGAGCGTCGGCACTCCCACCAAGGCCTCCATCTTGGGGGCCTCACAAGGACGAGACCCATGACTTTCCCATTAGGCATGGCACTGATGTGCCTTCCAAAATGAAGCAGATTAGCCCCGAAAAATCAAAACAATATATAGTAGCCATCAACTGTAGACTGGTCACAATAGTCTTGTGATTCCTCCACTCCTACATGGGACATATTGGTGAAAATCCTGTTCTGTAAATTATGCTGATGTCAGCACCAGAGGGGTGGAGATTTGGGGCAATTAAAAGAGTTTCTACTTCTGCCTCACAGCTTATCTGATTTATGTAGTCTCATTGTACACAGACCGTGTGAGCTGAGGGACAGAAATAGAATCTCTAAAAATCTCCCCCTGCCAATGCAATTTACAGAAGAAACATTTACCTTTGTTTGTGGTCAGACTAGTCACAACAGTTCTCACTGGACTTTGATACAATTAGTAGCATTTGAAATACTGAGTGTTATATTTCAGTCTTGAGTTCTGGAGTTCAGGTGAGCTCAGCTTTGCAACTACACTGTTCTCTCCTGAGATCAAGTAACAAAACTTGATTTAGTGGCATATCATACTTGACATTAGCTCACTGATAGAGTCAAAGAAGTAGAAGACTTTTTAACAATGTGGGCCCAATTAAAAATGCCACTCAGCATTTACAGATTACTTTGTCTTCAGCAACATGCCTATATAAATATGACTCTAGGATCAGATATTTACAATTGTATACTGGCAAATACATAAATATTCCAAGATAGGCAGGAAGATTAAATCTGAACCATGCTTGATCAAAGTAAGGGGCTATTCTACCACCACAGTGGCCATCTGGATGTCTCTGTTAAGTCCACAAGTTGGCACTTCCCTCTCTATCATTTTTACTAGCAACTAATATACAAAGGCATACTGTCACTGTCACCAAAGGAATATACAATTACCTGATCTGCAGTCATTGTAAAAAGATAAAGGTAAAGGTTCCCCTTGACAATTTTTGTCCAGTCGTGTTCGACTCTAGGGGGCAGTGTTCATCCCTGTTTCCAAGCCATAGAGCCAGCGTTTGTCCGAAGACAATCTTCCCTGGTCACATGGCCAGTGCGACTTAGACATGGAACACTGTTACCTTCCTACCGGAGTGGTCCCTATTTATCTACTTGCATTTGCATGCTTTCGAACCGCTAGGTTGGCGGGAGCTGGGACAAGCGATGGGAGCACACTCCATCGCGTGGATTCGATCTTACAACTGCTTGGTCTTCTGACCCTGCAGCACAGGGTTCTGCAGTTTAGCCCGCAGCGCCACCACGTCATTGTAGCCATCACTAATTTTCTAATTTTCTTTTAAAGCCATTCAAGCGTGTATTGGTGGCTATCATTACCTCTTGTGCAGCAAATTCCATAGTTTAACTATGCCATAGTTGGCTCATTGCCTACAGCCTGGGGGGGGCTCACCCTGAGACTACAAACCATCCACAGACTATGCCCTGTGTGAAAATGCAGTTATTTGTCTCTGGTTCATTTATCCCATTAACTATAACGATAAATGCTAATTGTTTGTAAAAATTCTACTATGAAGAAGACTATCCAAGATCAATGACTATGTGGCCAATATGCTTCAGAATCTGAGGCGGGCTGTTATTCCTACAATCCTATCTCTGCCCAATGTTGTATGATTAAATTGTCTGATGTGTTACTCTAATGCTGCTCCAGACTATTGCTTTTCATTGTTGAAGCAATAATGTCAATCTGAAATACAAATATTTTCTTTGTGAAGAATATTTTCCTTGTGAAGAAAATTTCCTTTGATGGCAAAGGAAATGGCCACCTTTTCTCTCTTAAAAACACAATATTCAGGAGGATTTTCTCGTTACATTAAAATGTTATCACTTCAAAACTATGTGTGCAGGCTCTGTAATGACTAACATTGTCTAATAACAGTTTCTAATTACTCATTATGGTTCTAGCTCCAATAGTTTACTTTATGATAATGTTTCAGAGGAAATTAATGGGATTTGGATGGAGAAGGAGAAATTACCATTGACTTAAATAATTAAAAAAAATCGTTTTTGCATGCATATTTTATGTGCCCATACATATTGCATGCCCAACTGTATGCATGTAGTGCATTTGCACTTTAACAATACTACATTAAAAGATAACAAACAAAAGCAATCAATGAGTTAGCTATCTGCTGCAGAGCCAGAGACTGGAAGTTCAATTCTCCTCTGTCTCTCTTAGAATACCGCCAGCTTTGGGCAAGCGGCACAGTCCCATGGCATGCCCAGAAGAAGAGAATGGTAATCTACTTCTAAGTATTCTCTACCTGGAAAACCCCAAAAAGGGTCACCATAAGTCAGAATTGACTTGATGGACATCATGTTGTTGTTGTTGTTGTTGTTGTTGTTGTTGTTGTTGTTGTTGTTGTTGTTGTTGTTGTTGTTGTTACTATTATTACTATTGTTACTATTATTATTATTACTTTGCAAGACAATGTCTCCCTCAGTTCAATGGTGCTTACTCCCAACTAACTGTTCCTTGAATGCTGACTGGAATATACAATGAATGACCCAGGGACTGGAGGTACTGCTTTATGTTGTCTGCAGCTATAGCTTTTAGAGGTTAGCATTCTAAGTTCTGCAAAGGCCTCCTTTAGGCTTGCATGTCTGCTGACATAGCAACCCTTTTGTGTTCAGCTGCTACTCCTCACCTTGCACCAGAGATAACTTCACACATAGCCTTTTTGGATCACTTAACAGAATGAATTTTATTTTATTATCTCTTGTTTCTCATGTTTCTGGGGAAAAGCTTTAGAAGTTTGAGATGGATCATAGCAGAAGCCACTGTTACACTGCCATGGATTTTGATTGTGTAGGATGACGTTTTGAAGGTATCAGTTAGTTAGTTTTGTGCCATCAAGTTGGAACCAACTCTCATGGGGCATTCAAGGTAAGTGCAATATTTAAGGCTTTCACTGAGTTTCCATGGCCATGTGGGGATTTGAATTCTGGCCTATCACTAAAGTTTTCAGAGGCTCCTTGTATTAATGGCAATGTCTAACTATAAGCCATAATCCTGCAAAAAGTTATCAATCTTTTATATACATACTTCTATTAATTCCCCCTCACTCAAAAATCAACAAGAAAATTATTCTAATTAATTCTCTTCAAAAAAACCACAAGGTGGCAGCAGTAGAAAGAACACTGTTTTTGTAGCATGAACATAGATGTTCTGTAACATCTCTTGACATAATGTTAATATTGTTAGGCAATATACATTGTTCTTTTAAATACTGTATAATGTGCCAAACTTCAATTGGTTGAAAGTTATCCACTTTTGTCTGAATGAAGATGCATTTGTTGATTTGTATTAAGATTTATTAGCTGGCACCGTTCTTTTAAATATAATGTGCCAAACTTCAATTGGTTGAAAGTTATCCACTTTTGTCTGAATGAAGATGCATCTGTTGATTTGTATTAAGATTTATTAGCTGAAGCTAGCTCACACTAAAATCAATAAGATAGGTTAATCATGGCATTGATCCCAATAGGAAAGAAATAAAACTATATTTGTGTTGTAGTATTAGGTTTCTTTATGCATTTTACTCATATAAGTGATTTGTGTTCGCTTTCAAAATTGATGGTAGAGATGGCGGTATTTGTATACGAGTACCCCCACACAGGTGGCGATAATGAGGGTACAGCCCCATATGGCCGGACAGCCCACTCACAATTCCACCACTGCCGCGAGCTCCACAATCCTTCCTATCACTCTGGAGCTCGCAATCGGCTTGCCACTCCTAGCAGGAGGCAGGATGACAAGCCTCCCTGCCAGGTCCAAGAGTGGCTTGCTGATTGCAAGCTTTGGAGTGATAGGAACGATTGTGGGCCGATCACTTGTTATTTCCACCTGTGCAGGGGTATTCGTATTTGAATACGAATACCCCCCCATCTCTAGTTGATAACTGTCCGTTCATTTCATGGCACTGAATTCCACAGTTCAACTGTGTGTTTCGTTAAGAATCTCTTTTATCTGTCCTGGACTTCCCACCACTCAGTTTCATAGGCCATGCCAAGGCTGTAGCCTCTGGTGGCAGGCTGTGGGTATCTGCATTTTTGAAAGCTATACTGAGCACAGAGTATATGTTACCTTTTTCACCTGACAGACCCAAGGAAAAGGAGGGCCTTCCTTCTTGCTCGGTTAAACATCTTCCCGTCAGCTTACCATCTTGGTAGATATTCCAATACCCCCCGACCAAACAGACTATGCACATTCTGCTCCCGTGAACCAGACACAGTAGCCCACATCCTACTTCGTTGCCCCTCTCACTCCACCCTTGGATCTTCCCTACTAAACCCCTTTCTCCTAACCCTCCCTCCTGCCCTCTCTGATCCCCTCCCAATCCTCCTTAGTGACTCCCTTCCAACTACTACCTATCTCGTGGCGGAATTTCTGTTAACCATTCTTATGAGAAACCACAACCCCCATCCTTCCCAACTTCAGCTCTAACTTGTTCCCTTTAATTTCTTGGTCACCCTGTTTACTCCTTAAATGTAATCAAATGCCAATAAAGGTTTTATGTATGTACTGAGCACAATAGGAAGTAGATGAAAATGCCTGAGGAGCTGAAATGGCATATTACGATAAACGAGCAGTGCTGCTGCCATCACTTTTTGCTGTATGTAATTGCCCCCACAAAAGCCCACTGTTTGCTGAGATGGCCACTTCTGGCTTCTTTCTTCCCACTCCTGTGGGCCGCCCGCATGCCTCGCTGCTCCCTGATTGGGTCTGTGATTAATGCCTGTGAACAGACAACATGTTGGGTCAGCTGTTCCCAAAATTATAGCCAACTGAGGAGCAGCTGGGATATGCAGGTGGGTAGCAGCAGGGAGAATGTTACCATTCCTACTGCAACCTCCTTCTCTTCCTCCTCGGAGTCTTAGAGAGCGACATACACCTAGGCTTTTCTTCCCACCTCAGGCAACAGGAGAGATTGCACCAGTGCTTCTGACCAGTCTGGTGTTTGAATCTTTTTTCAGCAGTAGTGATGGGACAGCAGCCTCTACCACACCTGAAGGTAGCAGGCTAGCTTAGGGGCTGCAGAAGGCAAGCTGGCTCTCTCCTCCTACAGTTTACTGCTGCCTCCCAACATCTGCCACCACTTTTCCAAGACCAACGTTGCCTTTACCCCCAAACCTGACAATGCACCTGGCCGCCCCCAGAAAACATGGAATATTTAAAAGGATCTTTTTAAAAGGGCATTCCTAATGAAACCATCCTGGAATAGTTTGACTAGTATAGGATCCTTCTGACACTTGACTCCATTTCAGCTTCAACTTGGCTCAGCTTCAGGTTCGAGTCACCTTTGTATTTCTTGCCCTCAATCACCCAGCCTGTAACCAGCTGGGTGGATGATATTAAACACCTCTGCTAATTACTTGACGAAAGCATTGAATTGGTTCCTACGCCTGCAAGTTCTGAAGGCATGATCTATGAGGGCATTCTTTAAAGAGAGAGAGAGAGAAAAGGAGAAAGATTGCTTACACTTTCACTTTCAACAGGTTAACAATTTCTAATCCAACTTCCCTGGAGGCAATTACATACAGCAAAACTTAGTGGCGCCAGCACTGTCTTGTTTATCTTCATATGAAATTTCAGAGTCTCAGGCATTTTCATTTACTCCTTACTCTGCTCTGTATAGCTTTCAAAAATGCAGATACTCATTAAAACCTATATTGGAATGTTTAATTATAGAATCTAGTTGCTCAGTAAAAGACCCTCCATACTCTTTCTCAAATTTTTTTTCAAAGGAATGAGCAACTGGCCCCTGTCAATGCTGTTCTATATAGGAAAGGACAAAACAAGAGAGAAGGGAGAGAGAAGTTGTTACTTAAGGTCCGTAGGTTGTGCATTCTTTCCAGCTCCTTCACAGTCATCTCTAGGTTTTTCAGCTGATTGTTGTGAAGCAGCAGAATATTTAAGGAATGCAGATGTCTCAGAGCACCTAAAATGACAGCAGGAAGTATCATAGGGTCTCTAATATAACCAAGCATTGCTGAATCAAAATGCTTTTGAACACCAGTTGCTAGAATGGCAACAAAATGCAGGACAGGGTTCCATTCCCCAGGCATACAAGAAAGTTATTATGAAAAGAGCGACACCCCTCCCCCATTGACAGTTCCCAGCAGCTGATAATGAAAAGTGACACCTATTGCCACTGAATAGGAAGACACAACATTTGTATGGTTCTTGCACACAACCTGAAGGCAAGGATGGATGATATCTTTATTCAACCACTTAAAAATCGCAAACAGCAGCTAGCTATTAATCTCACATGGGTCTTCATCAGGTTGGGCAGAACAGAATTTGAGATGATGCAGAAGACACATACATGTTCTATAAACCACAGCCTAAATGTGGAGGCCAGGCTCCTTTATTTCCTGGGGAACTTCCAGATCTGTACTCACTGAACTTCAGCAGTGCTGTAGCATCCCACACACCCAGATAATTCACTGGCCATATTAACCAGTGTTTCCTTTCTCTCTTGTTCATTTGCAAGGTTGGAAACTGTTGGGCTAAAATATTATTCTTCCTCTCCTTACCATGGCATTTACTCCCCCAGCTCATCTCTTTCTTTCTTCAAGAAAGCTGTTTTTTTCATTTTCGCCAAGCACTATATATTTTATCTCCAAACATTCATACAGTTCTGTCCAAGTATCCATTCTCTGGCCTTCTATAAATTACTCATGATCCAAGAAGGATCAGCTGAATACAATACCTGTTATACTTCGGATTTCATTATCATTGAGATACAATTCAGTCAGGCAGCAGTTATGCTTCAGGGAGGGCAGATTCTGAATCTAAAGTGTAAATTAGAATAATGACATTATTGCGTTGGTAAAAAGTTACGACTTAATTGGTTTGGTGTATCTCCCAAGGAGATTCCAAAAGAACACCAAACACAATGTAAAATGATCAATAAATGTTAGTGCTTAAAAAAAAGTGGATGTAATTTTTTTACACATATACCACATACCTATGACTGTCATATGTTGGGAAACTTGTCTTTAAATCAATCTGATGATCAGACTGGTCTAGTTCTATCTTAGTTTAACACGGCATAGAGATAATTCCACAGCAAGGGAGACAAAACTGATTTTCTCAGAATAAACTGAGTTTGCTGCATCATTATTAAATCCAACCTGGCCCTAACATTACACAGAAGAAGTGTAAAGTATGAAGAAGTGGATTTGATCCACAAAAGTTCACATTAATATATAATAGTCTTTAAGGTGTCACGTGTTTCTGTCTATTTGTCTCTTTTGGGTTTTGGTTTTGATTTCCTTTGCATTTTGCCTGATATGATTACACAGAGTGAGGCACCTACCGCTGGCAGCTGGTTTTGCACTTTACACAAGGGCATCACATTGTTACATATTTATATTTACTCTATTTTTAATGTTGGGAAAGAGAAAGAGGCATTTGTGGAAATTTTTTTGCCCCAGCTGTCAAGACCACATGACTGACCTTGGGTACTGTGCAACTTGATTTAGGGTGGGGGGCATTTTGGTTGTGGTCGCAATGACCAGATAGGCGGGGTATAAATGGAATAAATAAATAAATAAATAAAATTGTGTTTCATGGGGGGGAGCAGATCTTTTGAAAAAACTCTGTCTTTATACTCTCCACTTTTTGTCCTGAAGAGGTACAAATATCTTGCCACAGAAAAAGAAGAATGTGAGCAAAGTCTACAATCTGCTAGTCCCTAAAATGCAATATCATTTAGTAGATGGTGTATTTAACAAGATTATGAGAGTAAACATTAATTATTATCTGTCACTCAAAAGAGTTTATCTGCGCTTAGCAATCTATAGGTACAACTAAACTGTTGAAATAATTAGGAGCCAATTCAAATTTTTTAAAATCGATATTACATCATCTGGGTTTTGTGTCGGTGTACACATTCATGGAATAATTTTGTAAGCTTCTCTTAAGGACTTCCCTTCTGTTTTTTTTTTGTTTGTTGTTGTTGTTTTTGCCTACTCACCCATCCACTCCTGCATCCCTAAAAATTACAGCCTCCTGCGCAGGGGCCACAGGGGGAGATGCTGGCAAGGGCAGAGCGAGTCCTGTTCAAGAGAGCAAGGTAATGGCAAGGACTGTGTTTGCAAGTGGAAAGACTGCAGGAAGAGAGGGGGTTGATTGCACCTCTCTCTCTCTCTCTCTCTCTCTCTCTCTCTGTGTGTGTGTGTGTGTGTGTGTGTGTATCACTCTCCTTACTCCCCAGCCTAAGGGGAGAAGAAAATATATGAGCTTCACACTGTTTTTCCAGCAAGGAACTGTTCTTGGGCCATGGTGGGTTCTGCACCTTTGTTTCTTGTGTTTTCTAATATTTTCATATTTTTAAATGTTAAATATTAATATTTCATTTTAATAGGTGTTTTATTACAAAAATTAGCCCAAAGCATTAATATTATACAATTATTATTATGTATTACCTTATTATTATTTAGCCATAAGCATCTTAGTATCTGGAATTGTGATAAATCAGGAACTTCCCTTAATCCTCTGAAAGAAAAGTTATGTCAGTCAGTTTCTCATGTGGATGAAGCTTTTATACCCTGGTAAAGGTAAAGGTAAAGGTTCCCTTTGACAATTTTTGTCCAGTCGTGTCTGACTCTAGGGGGCGGTGCTCATCCCCGTTTCCAAGCCATAGAGCCAGCGTTACCTTCCCACCGAGGTGGTCCCTATTTATCTACTCGCATTTGCATGCTTTCGAACTGCAAGGTTGGCGGGAGCTGGGACAAGCAACGGGAGCTCACTCCGTCGCGTGGATTCGATCTTACGACTGCTAGTCTTCTGACCCTGCAGTGCAGGCTTCTGCGGTTTAGCCCATAGTGCCACCACGTCCCTGGTAGTTCACAAAAAATCACTCAGTGGCTTGTTTCTGGATACCACTACTAATTCTTCTCATTCTCTTCTTCCTGAAGTTAAACACGATCATAGTTAATCAGACTTTGGATGTGGCAGCTCCAAAGACTGATGTTATTTTGCGCCAAAGTGTTCCTTAATTTTTTGTTCTTATTATTTTTGCTAAGATGTTCTTTTTCCTTTTGCACTTGTTTTCCCCTTTATTTTTCTCTTGAATGATTACTGGTGACAATTCACACTTCTTGTTTCAAACTACATGACTGAAGCATTTCAGTTTCTGTATATGTGCAGTGGCTCATTTCAGATTTGTATCTTAATAAGTCAAGATACGAACAATTATTCCGTCTGCCATACAGCATCTTCATTCAACTATTCACAGAATAAGCAACAAAAACTTCTAACCATTATTTCCTGGTTTGTCATATTTCCAGAAGAAGCCAAGATTTTAAACCATGGATATTAAATCAACTGCTATATATATAGGAGAATTTCATATCCTGGTTTGTTCCAAATTTGTAACTATGCTTTCTCAGTTCAGACAAAATAAGACATAATGGCTGATTAGCTCGGAAGTATTTACATTATCACTAACAGATCTATGTTAAATGGTTAAAGAATTTTGCTACATTAAAATGTCAGAAGTAAAATATAACATTTATGTTGGCATACTAATTTTATTTATTAAGAATCATTACAATCAGAACACTTAAGAATTATTAAAATGCCAATGAAACTCTAAAATTACCTCTCAAAAGTTACAAATTAAAACAAGCAAAACATTCATTGTTACAAGGGGTGGGGGAAGAACACAACATTCACCTGCAATTTTGGAAACAATGGGCAAAATCCTATTGTATAGTGTTGCTGGGAATTACATAACTCATAGCATTAAATTGCCACTAATTAATGTATCTGGTTGGATTCCTCACTTTGAACACTTATTTTTTCTCCCCACCCTGCTCCACATGTTTCTGTTTCTGATGGAAGTAGAATATACTGACCAATTTGATCCCATATTAGTTTATTACAGCAAAACAATCCTTGATTCCTATAGACACCAAGGCAGTACACAACTATCACTAAAATACATATTATAATAAAGATACTGAAACTACATCATAATAAAAAAGACAAAGAAGGCAGCAGATACAACAGTATAGATTGGGATTACCTGTTGAAAACTTTCCATGTAATTTGATTATTACAAGAGTGCAGCATTATCTTTTTTTAAAAAAAAACATAGCTATTTCCACACATTCTCTTCCCTTGTAATGTGACTACTATATACCCATCCTCCACCAAAAATTAGCTAATGACAATCTGGAGGAGATGAAATTATACAGGAGAACATTTCTTGCACATGGAGGATATAGAAGAACTGATGACAAGTAGTCATCCATTTGGATTGTTGCCAGTTTTTAGGAACTAGTAAAGTAGTGTCAAATAAAGGCTAGTAGGGTTGGTGTAATCCTTTGTGAAAACTCAGCCTGGAACAGATGTTCTTGCTGGTTTGCATTCCTGTTTCAAGCTAGCAAATTCTGTTTTGGCAATGGTGCCTTGAAAACAGAACTATGGGTTAAAACATTGTGGCCAGAATTCCTACACCTGGGTAAAACTGTTAATCCCAATATACTTTAATTTTAAAAAAAGTGAATATGAAGACCAAAGAAAACTATCTCAACTTCCAGCATGTAAAATTGTCTTCATTTTTTTTTCTCCCTCCAGAAGTATAAACTCAATTTTAATTGGTTTCATTCTTTCTATATCTCCAGGCCTCTTGCCCTCTTTTTGATGATGAGACTGCAATCCTCAACTCACTTACTCTTGAGACATTCCACTGAAATCAATGGTACAAATCTAGAGAAATTCATCTGAGGATTATACCCAAAGGCATTTAATTTGTTCCAAATAGAGTTTAATTCCAACTTCTTTTCAAACTTGCCTCTTTGTGCCTGGCTTCTAGTCTTTGCATGCCCTTTACAAACTCCGCTTTTGAGGCCTCCAGCATTCTCTCCCTATTTACTGCTAAAGATGACAGCTCTCTGAGGCAGAGTTTCCTATGCTTCATTAATAGTGCTGGAAATGTGAACACTGAGACTTTCGTTATGAGCTTTCTGTTCGAGCTTTGCTCTACTCAACAGAAGATCAGATGAGCTAGTTCAGGTGCCATGTTTCTTGTCCAGCAAATACTGATCTGAAGGAGTGGAAGGAGTGGAAACTTGGTTTGGACTTACTCTCTGCTCCTTCCCCTTACTCAGATTCATGTTGGGTTATTCCTGGTTTAATGCAAAGCAGATCAGATCCAGATGAGCAATTTTTATTTGATAATCAAACATAAACAATGCTTGCTTTGGCAAACTATATTATGAGTCCAATAGTAGTTCTGGGAGAGCCTAATGGCTCCTGAACTAAATTTTGCTTCTTCCTCTTCATCTTAGATGCAGTTCTTTTTGAAAAGGAAGGAAGGGCTTTACCTATGATTGAGATTCTCAACACACTACATTTAGCCTGTGTTTGGGGGATATTTATTTATTTATCTTATTACTTTCCTTTATATACTGCCCCATTAGTGCCTAAGCATTATTCTGGGTGGTTCTGTGACGATTAAACTACACAGAAGTAGATACAGTGGTGCCCCGCTTGACGACGATAATCCGTTCCAGGAAAATCTCTGTTAAGCGAAATCGTCGTCAAGCAGGGGGAAAAGAAACCATTGAAATGCATTGAAAACTGGTCAATGCATTCCAATGGGGGAAATACCTCATCGTCCAGCGAAGATCACCCATAGAGAACCTACATGGAGGAGCCCAGCCTGCGAAGATCTGGTGAGTTGCACATATGACATTGGGAAAAGATGCTCTGACAAATAATGTGGTACAAATTATGAAGGGCTTTATACATGAGTGTCATGTACATGGACCTTGAACCTTGATCTGGGACACAATGGGTAAGCATTGGAGGCTAGCCAGCACTGGGGTTATGTGATCAAATTTGTTGGTCCTGTTCTAAACAGCAGCCAGGTTTTGTGCTGATTGGTCTCTCCTTCACCTGCTCTCTAGCTGTCTCCTTGTTGATTTCATAGCTTGCCTCTCGGTATACTAAGGGACAAGGCAAGCTCCAAAGCAGAGAAGGCATTTGGGGACGATCGTGTCAATAGCCCAGGTTATCTCTGAATATCACCGGTCAACCTCGGCTTCAACAGGATTGTCCACCAGGTCAGCCCAATACCTCCCAAGATCTCACAAAACTATTCTGGGTCAAGAAGCCTGCGAGGGCACACCAATTTCACAAGTCCATTCTGCCTGCAGAGAGGGGTCTTAGTAGAGAGGCTGAATCTCAGCAGAAAGTGATCTGTCCATGACAATGGGCAGAACTTCATATTCTGCACCCTCAGGTCACTTTCATTCTGTGCTGTTGAACATACCAGGTCCAGAGTATGGCCCGCTTTATGCTTGGGGATGATGACATGCTGGGATAGGTTCATGATTGTCATGGAAACTCCAGGACACCACTGAGATGAACTCAGCCAGACCTGGTAGGGAGAGCACTGGATTGCAGGGAGAGCGGTACACCAGTCCAGGACTATCCCAACCTATCCATGAGCCCCATTGTCAAGTATAAACACTCTAGGCCTGAGCTTGAGAGCACAGCTGTCCTGCTGATAGATGGAATCCTTGTAATGGACTGAGACTCTCCCCGCCCCACCCCTCTGATCTGTCCTGATGCCGTACAGAAAACCCGGGGGGGGGGGTACATCTGAGGGCTGGAAAGTTGACCCTCATCACGCACCGAGGTCTCCATTACACAAGCCAGATCCACACAGACAAGGTCGTTAATAAGATGGTATTTATTATTAACAGATCTGGCATTAATCAGCAAAAGATCAGAGGGTCAGCAAAGTTGGTGACCATATTCTTGTCAGGGGGCGGGGAGGTCAGAACATGTGACAGGCAACAATTGTCTGCCATACATTCTCTTGAAATGGAAGGCAGATACAGGGAAACTAGAAATGAGGTAAAAATATGGTGGAATATAGACAGAGGGCTTGGCCTCATTATCCACACTAGCTGATGGCTGCTTATATGGAATTATTGTGATTCCCCCCCACGTTTATTTATTTATTTATTTATTTATTTATTTATTTGTTTGTTTGTTTGTTTGTTTGTTTGTTTGTTGATTGTTTGATTGATTGATTGATTGATTGATTGATTGATTCAATTTGTATCCCACTCCCATTAGTGCTGAGACACAACTCTGGGTGGTTACAACACATATAATAGAGAACAAAAATAAAGATAATATTAAAAATAACAGCAATAATTATAAAAACAGATGGCACATACTAATCATATAAACCCAGAGCAGGCGTAGGAAAGGGCAAGGGGCAAGGGGTGGTGCAGAAAGCTTCCCTGAAAAGCAACATCTTTCATAATTTTTTTTTCTGGGAACAGAAGTTCCTCCCTTAACAAATAAATCTGTAGCTTAGGATAGAAGGATGAAACCAAGATGGACTTTCTTGAGGCTTTCAAAGGAACAACAGAAATAAATTTGCTAGATGTATTACTGAATGATTTCATACAGGTTCATCATCACAAAACAGCATATTTGTACTGTTTTTCTAAATTCTGATATTTGGAGTCTGTTAGGATGAGCCTTAAGAGAGTTTTTGGCCCTGAAAAATAAAAAAGAGCAAATGAAACTGTATCATACTAGTCCTTAAAATATTGAAAGCAATATTTCCATAGAACCTAAAAGAAGCTTCTTTTAGCCAGTGACGTTAAAGATCTGGCTATTTTTCCAGAAATAATACTTTAATTACAGTTTACAGAATCCTCCAGGCAACATTCAACATGGAGTCAAAACTGTACGTTTCTCAAGTTCTCCCATTATTATAATTGTTGTCGTTGTTGTTAACCTATGTATAAATGTCAGCACGGAGTTTGCAATGGATCCTTCCTTACATTCTCCCCCATCAAAAAATAAGGGGTGGGGACTTGTCAAGTTGGACTTAGGTCTCACCAACAACTCAACCTGAACACAACTCCTGAGGGTTTTTTTTTTTCAATCACTGGGTTCGCCTCATGGCTCAGAACCCACCCTTTTTTGGGGGGGGGGGGAGAAGATCTTGTTTTTAATAGAGACTAAGGCTTCGGGCGTGAGACTCAGGACTTGGTGCCAGACCCAGACATGGATCCAAAGACTTGCCAACATTCCTGCAAAACAGTGAACTTACTTTTCACCGAGGTACAAATCTGTGACTTCTGTATCGTTCCTAAAGCCACATATCTTCAACTGTTCTTCTAAAACCTAAAATAGATTGTGTGTCAGCAATAGTAACTGCACTACAATAATTTATATTGAGCTATAATCAAACAACATACATTGACATATTTGAAAGCAGAAAGTGAAATTCTGAGACTTGTTTTTTTAAGAATTGTGTTTAAAAAAGAAGAATTACCTGCAGCAATTACATTCTCATTTTTAGCCTTGTTACTTTATTTTGTTTTACTGCCTGCATTTCAACCTTTTTATGGGAAAGATTGCACTGAATGTCTGCCTAAGGCAATTTTGGCTCCTGGAAGACAGTAGATATGAGAACTCTTATATAGCTTTCAGCTATTAATTCTTCTTCTTTTAGCTTGTGTGATCTGAGGAGGCAGGCAAGCTGCTTGGTGGACTGAATATTTAAAACTTGTTCTCTTGCCCAACCTGGATAACTAAGAGTTGAAAAGACAGACCTCCAAGTTTGCAGATGAGTCATTTGCTAAATCAAATCTCAGAAAGCGGAGAATGTGGAGGAGGCTGCTAAAGGAATGTAAGATGCTGCCTACAGCTAGTGGGACCATCAGTCGATCTAGCTCGGCACTGTTCACATCAGGCTCATCCAATCTGGTGCCTTCTGCTATGTTGAGCCACAACTCCCATCATCCTAGTATAGTGCAGTTGTCCCTTTGGCACAGACAGTGAACTACCGGTATATTTCAACAGATCTGAAGGGTACTGAAGTGCAGAAGGCTGGTCTATGCTGGCTGGTGGCACATCTCCAATAATTCCATCAGAAGTCTTTTCCAGGAACTGAAGTTGGGACCTTTTGTGTATGACATGTGGTTTTTACCACTGAGATAAATCTTAAAATAGGCAAGCCACTTCTAATGATACACAGGAAAGGGAGGAATAGTCTACTGTTGTGGTAAAAAAAAACACCCTCGCACAAGTCGCCGCCACCTCAGAGGGGAAATGAGCATGATTGTTTCACACAAATTCTGCACAGATTGGATTGCAACTATTGGGCAGTGCAGTCCCTTTGAAAAGAGTTGGGATTAGGCAAGTGATGGCAAACCTTTGGTAAGCCGAATGTTTTGGACTACAATTCCCAGCCTGTATTGCCAATTATAGAGGCAATTATTTTGTGGGGTTTGGAGTGCCAAAACATCTGACATGCCAAAGATTCACCATTCCCAGCCTCTCATGCAAGCAGAAATGCCCCAGTGCCTGTACAAACCAAGGAGACTTGCCACAAGATCAGTCTGACAGCAAAGGACACTGGCTAGCATTTGCTGGCAGAAGAGCCAAAAAAGGGGAAGTGGAGAAAGTGAGGGGGCAAGGGAATTGCTGTGTAACTCCACATCCAGCCCTCTTCTAGCCCAAGAATACATCCCACAAGACTGGCCCTATGTGAGTCTGCAAGGATCCTAAGGAATTTCCAACAACCTTTGGCCAGGAAGAGTTTTGGTTCAACTCAATTTCAGCTGGCCTAGTGTCAGCTCAGTTGGCCCATGGCCATTGTCATCAGTTTTGATTACTCTCTAAATCCAGGTGTTTGTCACAAGAAAACAGGGAGACCTCCAAGGGAATCAAGGGAGACATGCACATGTGGGATTCTTTAAGAAAAGGACTCAATGGAATGGTTTGTGTTTGACTTTTACAACGAACAATATGAGGAATGTATTATTGAGGAATTTTCTGATAGAAGCTTATTGTGTCTGAATGAACTCTGACAATTCAGTGTGGAAGGGATTGTCACTCTCGAATTGGCCTCCTCAGCCACACTAGACACTGTTCTAAGTCCTCCATGCAGAGCACGTTACCGTAGTCTCTCGAGACTGAAGGATGCCTATGGTATAGCTCGCTTCACCTCCAGATTTCAGGAGCAGGCATCTCCTTGCTTGGTCCATGCACAATCTATGTAACCAGTTGCTTTAATTTTGTTTGTCTTTTGAATAACAAAGGCATAATTCGGTTGTTTTACAATTGTAACTTAAAGAGGGATGATTTCACTTTATTTGTAATATAACTGTAACTCTTTCATTACTTTTACAGTTACATGGTTGTGGCCCCAGTAAGTGAGGGAGGACGAAGATCAAATAATTCAAGTGTAAGATATTGCTGTCTCATTACATGCTTCTGTTATAGACACTGAGAGTGTCTATAACAGAGTGGGCATGTGTGCCAAATGGGCGGGGCATTAAATAAATAAATAAATAAATAAATAAATAAATAAGAATGACGGAAGTACATTTTATACCTCAGCTTGTGCCATTCAAATGTTACTTTAAAAATGTTAAGCACAAGTAGCAATTTCAGTTGCTCAACACGACTTACTTTGACAAATATAAGCAAAATGTTACCTTACTAGCTTTGGGCATTGAATTAGCTCCTTTTCTGAAGTAACTTTCCTAGCTCTGTTGCATATTTCCGTCCCAATCCAGCCACTTTTTGGAGAAAGGTGGTTATGGGAAAGGAAGAAAAAGCTTCCCTGTATGGGGATAAATGGAGACTTTGAGTCACTCACCTGTCTGCTTTTGAGACCTTCATTGATCCTAGATGTGGCTGCCATTTTGGATACCCATTTCCTGAGCAACCATTCTCATATTTCCCTTTTTTTTTGTCAGGGAAATAAAAGAATACTAATCAAGGAATGAGTGGGGTAACAGTGTGACAATTGGGTTTGTGTTATAGCAGCTTGACCTGAGGGCTATCTGTGAAGATAAAAGTTCTCTCTTCCATGATGGAATCAGGGTAGGGAGGGGGAGAGAACACAGCCTCATTGACAGTTGGAAGATGGAGTGTAGGCTGTAAAATCAGAAGCTGTACATTTAATGCCTGCCTTTCCTGAGTTCTTTTCAGATATTATCTTCATGAACATGCCTCAAGGAGGGTGCTTGGCCCCTACCCTCTCCACTGTCTACATGAGGACAGCAGTGCATCTGCAGAGGAGAGGTGTCTGCTAAAAGGAGGGAGAGCAGAGTTCTTATTTGCACAGGAACAGTGCAACACCACCAGGATCCCGTTTGCAGACATGTTATTTTCCACATGTAGAAGTTGACAACTGCGAGGAGCATTCTCTTTGATGCTTGTTAGGTCTATCCATGAAGGCAATACGAAGGCTTTTGTCAGACACATCCATAGTTCTACACTCTATAACCACACTCACAACTTTGAAATTTTCTATTCTGGTTTCATTTTAAGAAGCAACAGTCTGCTTCCACTGTATGTATCATACATTCTTCAACATGGGCTTTTAAAATCAACAACAAAATCTTGTTCATTTCCCTGTAATCTGAAGGATGATTTTTGGATTCTAATCTACCTTCCTGATTGTGAGGTCAGATTTAATGAAGAGTTGTATCTTCATGTTAATTAATCAATAATAAATATTACTTTGTGTAGGTGAAGTGAAAGTACACAGGGAGGCGGGGCTTCGTCACGGTGCTGCCAGCAGCTTCCGGGAAGAGCTCCCAGGAAAAGCTGGAACTGCCCAGTCTGGGGTCCCTCTAGAAATGGGGGATCGGAGGGAAGACCAGGAGAGGTCTCTCTGAAGCAGCTGGTGAGCAACAGAAGGAAGAAGATTGGGCAGCAGCCCGGTATTTCTTTCCTCTGAAAATTCCCCCGAGCACAGATCGGATGCGGGAGCCATTTTGGCAGTGAACTGTGAGCAACCCCCCCCCCCGAGGAGAGGAGAACAAAATACTGTGTTAAAAATATACAATAACAAAGTAAGTCAAAACGTTTGATTTATGAACAACCCCTCAAAAGAAGACAAAAAGCAGCAAGTTTTGCTTACCAGCCTGCTTCTTCAAAAACGAAACTGATTCTTAAAAAACAGGCTGATTCAAGGCCCAAAGAGAGACAGTGATACAGAAAAAAAAATTGTTTCTGGAAAAAATCCCAGAGTGAAATACCACTGGACAGGCTTTAAGAGACTGAAATTTTGTGAATGCTGTTTAGCCTGGACCTTTCTCCCTAGACTGTGTGGGACTATGATAACAGAATCTTGTTGGTTTTTTGGAGAAGAAGGAATAAGCTTTTGGAAGCAAGAAAATGGACTGAGAATCATCACGATGTAGGCGACTGGACCAAGGAGCTAGAAAAATCAGAACTGGATTTTTTTTCTTTTATTGAATCTTTGGATTAATGGAAAGAACATTAGATGGATTATAAGGATATCTACTGGAGAGACTGACCCCTGTGTCTGCTGTTTAGTCTGGATTTTTTTTGGCTGGACTGTGTGGGACACTGATAATATTGCCACGGTTGTATTTTAAATTGTTGGGCTAAAAGTTGATTTATATATTATAATATCTGTGTAAGGATGGGAGGAAGAACCTAGGGGAGGTTTATGATTGTATGTTTGGTTTGTTGATAAAATAGTGGAAATTTCTGAAAGATATTTGCGGGTTGGCCATTTTGGTCAAGGATATAGTATTATTTATACAGACCCTACTCATTGGAAAGATTGAAATGACCTCCGAAAAATTAAAATATCAAATGTTGGGGACTTTGCCCAATCTCAAAATTTGGGAAGAGGCGCACAAAAATCAGATAAAGAATGGCAGACTACCATGCAAAATATAATAACAGCAGGATTTCAACAGGTAAATGAACGTCTTAGCCAGACAGAAGATCTGATGAAAGAGAAATTATCAGATGTTAAACAACAGTTGAATGAAACTGTACTAACTCCAGAACTGCTTTTATTGAGCACGATACCAGGTAACATAGATGGGATAGAGAGTTACCCAGTGAGCTATTTAGCTACTACAGTCAGAAAATGTTATGTTAAAAATTGGACTACTGTCTTGGATTCATCCTTCTCTTCCAAAAATTGGAAGAAAGCAGAGCTACAGAAACAAGAGGAGCTTACTGCGAAAGTATGGGAAGCGACAGAAATGGATGCTCTTTCAATCGTGCTGAATGGCTGTCCAAATAAAAGGAACTTGAATGATGGGGTGTATTTTACAAATGGCCTCGGTTCCCTGATAGTGTTGGAGTAACTTAGATTTAAACTAAAACATAACTGTAATTTGATAGCTGGAGGGCAATCAAATAGTAAAAAAAAAAGCAGGAAGTTGATTTGTTATAGAAATATGAATAGACTGGACAATGGTATACTTTGTGTTCCCCTATCCTTTTAATCCTTTCCCTTCCCCCCCACTTCATTTTACCTTTTATATTCCCTATCCTATTCCTAGTAGTTAAAAAATAAGTATTAAAAAAAGTTAAAGTACACAGCAAAGTGTTGTGATCCTATGTCTGCCAGGGACCAAGCTTTGATAAACATGCCAGTGTCTTATTGGTTTTCCCAGCTAAGAGCAGACCCATTAAAACAATTGCTAACTGTTAAGTCGACACTAGTAAAAATCCTATTCAGTCCATGGGTCTACTCTGGGTGGGACCAGTGGTAGGATACTGCCCACAGAGTCTGCAGATTATTAGTTAACACGTATTTATCTTAATATCTTGAACAATTCTAAGCTCCCTTTCATACTCTCAGTTAAAGCCGGTTATGATTACAAAAGGGTGGGGTCCTCCCTCATTCTTTTACCTTATGTGTAAAAGGAAGAGTGTAATCTTTTTTTGACATTTGCAAGCAAAGACTGATTATCCTAGTTAATTTAAGCCAAATCTCGATTCATGGTTTTTTTTCTTGACTTAGATGGGCAAGATAAGACAACAAATCTTAAAGCAGTACCTATGAACAATAATTTGATATGTGAAAGACTACAGAAACTGGCATTTTGTCTCTGTAGAGTTTTGAATTTAGTGATAAGTAATCACACAGAGTTCTTCTGAAATTTTGTGGTCAGAGGTAATTACAAGAGGACTTTGGTGAGTTTTGCTGGCGACTGTGCCTCAGGCCAGCACTTCAAATGGTGCCCCCTTTAATGATAAAAAATAAACAAATGAAACATTATGGTCCTTTACGGCAGCGGCCCCCACCTTTTTAACCCCGTGGACTGGTTGGGGAAGGCGGGCACCCCCTGTGCTTGTGAGCATGCACAAAGGAATAGGAGGGCACTCGTGCAGGTGCGCATGCACTCGTGCACTTGCACGAAGGGGTGGGGGAAATGCTCATGCAGGCACACACATGTGCGCATTTGCAAAAGGGCTGTGTGGGGGGAGTGTGGGCAGGGGTAGGGGGGAGGTCTATTTCTATTTCTATTTTAGTTTTCTATTATATATGTTATAGCTCGCCCAGAGTAGTGCCGTGACACTAATGGGAATGGGATATTGGGATATGTCTAATATTTTAAAACTGACCACTACACTGTGAGAAACCACAGGCAATTACAAGTTTGTTTGTTTGTTTGTTTGTTTAACTTATATGCTGCCCACACTACCTGAAGGTCTCTGGGCGGCTTACAACATTTAAAATACAACAAAAAGGCAAAATAAAAGGGCAAAAATAATTGTAGTGAATGCAATGCTTAACAAAATTGCCCTGCATTATTTAATGTTTCAAATTAAATCTTTATGTCCTAATTAGAGCAAATTGTTTCTAGCTCTTTTGTAAACATGTACAATAAAATAATTATTATGTGCTGTCAAGTCAATTCTGACTTATGGTGACCCTTTCCAAGGTTTTCTAGATAAGGAATACAGTACACAGAAGTGGTTTGCCATTCCCTTCTTCTGGGGGTGTCCTAGGACTGTACAGCTCTTCTCCCTGGCACCAATTCTCAGCTTCTCGCTCTCTAGCTAGGAAAGCCTAACCACTGAGCTATCCAGCCAGCCAATATGTACAATAGGCATTAATAAAGTGTCTAAATCCTTAAAACCTTTCATTTTGTGTCATGTATTGCAGTTTATTAGGGTGTGGGAGCAAGAAACGGGGAGAGTAGATTCATTTCTATAAACGTATGTGAGCAAATATTTACTCTTGTAGTTTGTTTATCTGCAAAATAAGGCTTATACAGAAATTTGCTTGTCATGTATAAAGTGGTACCAGCTTTGCTCTTATGCAGAATGTGGTAAAGGATGCTGTGGTAGCTGTGGCTGAGAGGCTTGCAAGCACTGAGCAGACAGAGCAGTGTTCGCCTCTCTTGCAGGGCCATTTTATTCAGAGGGCCCACTGTCTGGAGGAGCCACATGAAGAGGGGGATGGAGCCATTGGGGCTGCAAGGGTGAGGCCAGCCCAGTGTGGTGGTGCAGTACATGCAGGAGGTGCTCCTGGCTGGCGAGCCGTGGGGTCTGAACAGCGGGCAGATGGTGCTCAGCTCCTTTGCGCACCATGTCCTGCCCCCAACGGCCCACCATGGCCCCACCCCTGCACCTGGGGAAGAGCCACAAGATCCTCTGGCGGGTACTCCACCCTCCTCTGCCTCCTCTCCACTCCCCCAGAAGCCGGGCTGCAGCTGCCGTGGGTGCCATCGTGGCTTCTTCTTGTGCTGGGTGGCGTCACTGTGCAAGTGGGAGATGCACCAGTGGGAGGTCAGGTGAGGAAAGGGGGGAGTAAGGCCAGCTGGCACATGCAGAGCACTCTGCTTAGGCTCAGAAGTGCTCTTCCCACCAGTGCCCTCAGTTCGGTGGGGCAGCTGTTTCTTCAAAGCACCCATGGTCTTCCGCCTCCTTCTGCACCTGAGCCCGGTGTCCCGCAACTCCACACAACAGGCAGCCACCCTTCCATACCGGGCCTGCTCTGGATTGCAGCCTCGGCATGTTTTGCACACTATGTGCACAACTTTTCCTCTTCTCTGGGCATGTGCAGAGTGCCTTGAAGCTCAGGTTTAGGCTTCCCTTG